AAGGAGGAAGAAGGAAGGAAAGGAGGAAGAAGGAAGGAAAGGAGGAAGAAGGAAGGAAAGGAGGAAGAAGGAAGGAAAGGAGGAAGAAGGAAGGAGAGGAAGAATAGGAAAAATAAAGTAGTAGCAAGGAGGCTATGTTAAAAACCCGCGTAGGGTTGACATGGGAATAAAGTGTATAATATTAATATATTATATATTAATATTAGAATTAAGTATATTATCAAGGGGAACGAACATGTAGGGAGGGCCTTCGGGGTAAACACCCTAAAGGGGTATACCTGAAAAATAAACTTCTTCTTCTATTATATATTAATATTATTATAATATTAATATATAATATTATACAATATTTATATTATTATTATATAATATTATAATTATAATAAATAATATTTTAGTAATTATACAAATTAGTATTAGTAATTATAATAAATAATATATTATAATAAAATATAAAATATTATATTAATATTATATAATATATTAAATATAATATAATATATTATATTTAATATAATAATATATTAATTGTTATTATTAATATAATTAAATTAAATTATATACATATATATATATATATATATATATTACATAATAATAAGATTAAAATGATTCGAATGATGAATGCACATCTACAATTATATTGATTCAGTAATTAAAAGTATTATCTAGGATTATTATCTAGGATTTATTAATTATTTTAATAAATAAGAGAAATTGAATTGTGTAGTTACCTCAACCCTTTCACCTATGCCAATATATTGTCGGTGAGTATACCTGCTGTTATACGAGCAGTTGAAACATGAACGTTCATTTCAATAAAAATCAATCATCAAATTTATTATTCATTGAACGTTCATATTTATTTTACTATTGATAGAACGTAACATTTAATACTTTGTTACTAGTTATATAAATCATTGATTTCTTATTCAATTTGTATTGAAAAAAAAAATGAATGAATGTAAAATTTGTACAATTATTTCAAAATATCAATGAAAAAGTTCTGAAAGCGATAATTTTCTTTTTTTTACCGAGGGTAGATTGCTAACCTTTCCCTCGAACCCTCCTCCTTTATCTGGGCTTGGGACCAGCTAGATATTATCTAGGTATCTAGATAATAACTAGGCGGAGTTAATTTTATTAATAATCAAAATAATTCACATTCGATCTTATTTAAGATTTAATTGAAAATCAATAATAGGTGATTTATGAATAAAACGGTAACTCAAAATCATTTCGAAAATATCTACGAAACATTTGATCAATGATTTTTCTAATGTGCGTATCATAAAATAAAATCATTCAATGATTTTCTATTATAAAATTGTTCAACGATTTAAAATCTTCTTAAAATAAAATCATTCAATGATTTAATACAATAATATTCATCAACGACATGTGTGATATGTCTACGATAAGATTTGTCAACGATTTAGAGTCTTCTTAAAATAAAACATGACGATTAAAACAAAATAATAATAAAATCCTATTACCGCAACTGATCAAACAAGGATCAAGAATAAATTAAAAAAAAAAAAAAAAACCTAACAAAGCATTAAATAATTTTTAAGAATAACTTTAAGCTTGTTTTCGAGGTTAGGTATTAATTCACCTTGTCGTGTTAGCGCAGAGGACCAAAGAAGAAGAAGAAGAAGAAGAAAAAGAAGAGTCCAGTTATCGAATTATATCGAGACGATGAAAAAAAAAAGGAACAAAACCGAAAGAGAAAGAAAAAGAAAGAAAAAGAAATAATAATAATAATAATAATAATAATAATAATAAAATAAATAAATAAAGAAGAAGACCGAGACTGACTGACTGACTGACAGGCATTACCGAAGCACAGTGGTTAAAAGGGCTGAGATGAAGGGAAATTGGAGAAGGAGGAGGAGGAAAAGAGGAGGGGAGGGAGAAGGAGGGTTTTCGGACAATGCGAATCTGTAATTATAAGCGGCCCGTCTTCTGATTTTCCTTTTTATACGTTTTTTTTTCTTTTTTCTTTTTTTTCTTTTTTTTTTTTTTTTTCATTGTAAAATCTCTTGCAGGCAGGTATTATCACCTTAAATCAACAACGCCGCTTCTCTAATAAGAGTAAAAGAGAAAGAATGAGAGTAAAGGTGAAAAAGAGAGAGAGAGAGATAGAGATAGAGATAGAGAGGGATGGAAAGAGAAAAAAATATAAGAGAATAAAGGGAGTGAGAAAAGAGTGAGGGGGAGTTACACGTTCAGGAAAAGAAGAGAGAGAAACTGTAGAAGCAGAAAAGAAGGTACGAGAGGGTACTTTAATAGTAGGTCTCGCTTAATGACCCACGTCCCAAAGCCTAAACTGAATGTCATTGCAGTAGATTCGATCACGTGACTCTTCTTCGCCCAATTACAAACTACTACTACTACCACCAATGGCGTAATCTTCATCAATTTTCAATTCAATTTTTGTCTCTCTATGAAATATTTAATACATATTTTATTCTTTTTTTAACACATTGTATTATGCAATACACGTTTTACGAGATATTTCGTTTTTCTTTATATATTATGCATTATTTTTTATATTGAAAATATTTTATATTTATAAAATATTTAAATATAATTAAATATTACAATATTTTTAATATTTTATTTTATAAATATTTTATATTTATTATATTATGCATTACACGTTTTACGAGATATTCCGTTTTTTTATATTATTATTTTTTATAATTATAATATTTTACATTTATAAAATATTTAAATATAATTAAATATTACAATATTTTTAATAATTTATTTTATAAATATTTTATATTTTATATTTAATTACAAATTATATTAGATTTGATTAAAAGAACTAATATACATAATAATATAATGATATTTGTTTTTTTTTTTATAATATAACAATTTAACAAGTTTAATATAAATAATTTTAATAAAACTAAACATTTAGCAATTAAGTAAAATTAAATTAACAAATGAAAGATTAAAATGTAATATTCATTGATGTAAAATTATGTCATTAACATTCAAGTAAAGATTTTGAAATGATGTACACAACAACCCCCTATATATTTTTCTACTTTTTTTTTTTAAATTATACAAATTAATTATACTCTAAATAGTTGAATACCGTTAAAAAAAAAAAAGTTTATATTAATTTAAATGTTAATTAACAAATAAAATCATAGAGTTTCCTCTTACGGTAAAACGGTAAGATATTAAAAAAATGCACAAGTGGCGTCATCCAACGACGAAATATCGTATCACGGTAGAATGGTAAGATATCAAAAAAAAATGAACAAGTGGCGTCATCCAACGACGAAACTTGGTATCACGTTCTCAAACACGCTACCGCTAATAACACATGAATGATGAAAATACAAATACATGATTTGTATTTGATAGGATAAAAAAGTATGAAAAAAAGTATTCTTTTTTTTTAACTATACCAAATTGAATTAATATAAAATAAACTAAAAAAAAAATGTTGCGAATCTCTGTGAATAATTGTTGCAGATCGATATTAAAGTTAAACACTGTACAGGTAAAGATCTGTACTTTTTTTATCAAAATATTATAGGTTAAGAATGATAATTATTTCATTGTTAAACTTTGTTCTTACAGTATAATACTACATGCAGATCAATTCACCTTGTACGAAGAACTAGACATACAATTTCAAAAGATGTATGTCATTTTGATTCGAATCGTTCTAAATCTCACATTTTAAATGCCTTTTTTGTACGTTATGCAAGTACAAACGAAACAGTTGTAAATAATGTGAAACAAGAACCAGAATTAATTCGAATTGATTGGACGAATCATGCGACTAACAACAACACTAAAGTAGATGAATTATTTGAAATACCAGGTAATTGATAATATATTATATAAATGATTTCAAACTTGATTCATATCTTCATACATTCATTCATTCATTCATTTTTAGATATACCACCTATGCCTGTAGAAGAGGTTGTTGAAGTTGTTCAAAAAATACATCCTAATGGCGAAATAGCATTTTCAAGTTTAGGATTAGGTGGATACAGTCCTATTGGTCTTCTTCAAAGTTCATTAGAATGGATGCATATTCATTTGGATTTACCTTGGTGGGGTACAATAGTTTTAGGTAAATTAACAAATCATTCTCCACTCTCTTCTTCTATACTTAATGTTCTTTGAAATTAAAACCAAAAAAAATTAATATTTTCAGGAACTGTAATTGTTAGAACATGCATGTTTCCTTTGGTAATAAAATCACAAAGATATGCAGCCCTAATGAGTATATATTATCCTCAAATTACCAAATTGCAAGAAAAATTGTCAGAGGCAAGACTGAGCGGAGATCACTATAATAGTACGTGAACTGAAATTAATAATTAATTAATTAGATTGAAAAAATAATTATAGAAATAATTTTGTATTTTTTTTGTTTTTAGGTGCTTTATATGCGAATGAATTATATCAATACATGAAAGATAAAGGATTGGGTCCTTGGAAATCTATGGGTCCTATGCTTGTACAGGTATAATATAGTTGATAATTGTAAAAAGTTGTTCTAGTATCATTCAAATTACAAGATTTTATATATGTAATAATATTTATTCTTTTCAATGAGATAAAAATTAGAAAATGAAACAAACTTACTTTAATTTATGATGATATTTCCTAGGGTCCTTTATTTCTCTGTTTTGTCTTGGGCTTAAGAAGAATGGCCGATTTACCAGTCCAAAGTCTTCAAACTGGTGGTCTGTGGTGGTTTACAGACTTGACTGCAGTAGATCCTTATTATATATTACCTATAATAACATCCGTTACATTAGCCATTACCATTGAAGTTGGAACAGATACAGCAGCAGCTTCGTCAATGGGATCATTGAGATATGTTTTGCGTGCTATACCATTAATTTCATTACCTTTTGCAACACAATTTTCTTCTGTAAGTATTTTCTAATATTATATACTTTATCAAATACTTTTTTTAATCATTTTATAAATAACAATCCATTTAATTGGTATCTAATTGCAGGCTGTATTAGTTTATTGGGTGATGTCCAACTTTTATTCTTTAATTCAAACTTCTATGTTAAGAACTAAATATATGAGGAAAGTGTTTAATTTGCCAGAGATAGTAAAACACAAACCTAATGATATAATTGCAAGGAAAGGATTTATTAAAGGAGTTAAAGAATGTAAGTAGTAATGTGTTTTACTAGTTAGTAATATATATCATCTATTGAAATTTAATTTTAACTATATTTTGTATATGTTCTATCAGCTTGGCAAAATATGAGTATAACAAAGCAGATTGCTGACAGAGACAACGCAGATGCGGTCCAATTTAACAGAGCTGGAAGGGGTCCCATAATTAAAACATATTCATATGATCCAACTAAGCAAAAGTTACAACCTAAAATAATGACTAAAAGTAAATAAATAAATAAATAATATTTCACTTATTGAAATAATTGTTGTAAAAATTTAGAAAAACTTGAGTATTATTTATATATATATATATATATATATATAATCTTATTTATAAATAGTCATTAAAAATCCAAGTATTCATTTTATTTATACATTCTCAATTAACGCTAACTTATTTATTTAATATTTCAAAAAATATAATCTCAAAACGTACTATTATTTTTAATATTTAAGATCGGAAACACATTGATTAATAACTTCAACTATATGTGAATTTTCAAGTGCAGCAGCTACTCGTTCCTTATCCGCTAATTGTTTATTAAGTGATTCTTCTGATACATGAGTACCAGGAGTTATCTGTACAGAAACTTTAAATCTAGGCGGTAAGGCTCTTAATAATTGTACTCTTATCGTAAGGCCAATTATAGTTGCCATACTACAATGAGGTATCGTTGGTGTAAATTTAACATCAATTGTATTTTCTGCATCGTTAACCTACAAAATTATGATCTTACAATTATTTCAGAAAAATAAATAATAACAGTGGTATGATTATTGACTTACCTTTATAAGATTTTCTTCAACAACGTGTAATTCTTCTAACGTTAAAGGATGTTCAGGATCATTGATATTTCTGATAATATCTACAACAGAACTTAATTAAACTAAATTGTCAATAAACTTTTCATATAACAAATAATAATAATAATAATAATAATAATAATAATAATAATAATAATAACCAAAAACTTCTCTTTCATCAAATGCATCAACGATATCTTCGTCTTTCTCAGCAGCCGTGATTTGTCTATCCTCTACTTTTTTATATAATTTTGGATTAATATTTTCTAAATTCTCCATCATCATCGTCATTACGTAAATATATCAATGACAATAAAAAATAAACATTTCCAGAACAAACATACACTTACACTGATAGATCAAGTTATCGGTTACATATTATGTTAAATAATTTTTAAATTTAAGGTTATGTATCATCAGTCTTGTGGCGCCCTCATATACTTACGATAAGTCAACAAAACGATTGATCGATACAATAATACAAATATAATGTGTGGAGTATTACAAATAATATTTTAATTATTTAAATATAAAAATGTATAATTTTAATATTGTGCTATTACTTTAACATAAAGATTATGAAAAATTTCTGATTAATAATTATATATATATATACTAAAGAAAAGAGATTCGCGCATATTCTTATTTAAATAATTACAATATATGTACAGATATTTTAATTCTACGAAGCCTGCCTAGTATATAGATTTGAGTACAAAGTTGAATCAATGCAGCTAAAAATTACATTAATATAAATTGACATTATTTTCTATTATTTTTTTTTTAAATTCAATTAAAGTTTCCAATCCCACGGTATACATAATACACCATCGCTCATAATAGAATAATAATGAGTCACCCAAAGCATAACTCCGTCCAATAAAGGAGCTAATGTTATTTTGTGCGTCAATAATCGTTCGCAGCATTGTATCATCAGATCTGGTGTAATACTATCATCTTTATTAAAAGTAACCAAGCCTAATTCTTTAATTACTGTTTCATGAAGTTCTCGTTCAATGTGTTTTATGCTAGAAAACAATTATGCATGCTTGTAATTTAAATAATTAATTCATTGAATAAATGAATAATAATAATAATAAAAAGACAGAATAATATGTTTATCTTACTTGTTATAATGATGTAATCTCTTGGTAGCTTCTGTTAAATTTTCTGTAATAAAACTGACCAACAGGAAACTTGGACAAGATGATGGTACGATAAATTGTCCAGTTGGAGAAAGCATTAAGGGACCTGCTTCACTAAAAATGATAAGTAACTACTATGTTATTAATTGTTTCATTATTTTTTTAGATACTATTAATTTTTGAATTACTAACGCTTCTATTACTATTTCATAAGCAGACAAATTTGCTGGCCAAGCATTCGGATAACGTCTCCTTCCTCGATAATCGGACAGTGTTGTAGTAAGTTGTCGAAGTTGACGTTCGTACTGACCAGCCATTACTTTAGGCATGAATTTCCTGCACATATAGAGTACCCTGAGCCTTACCGTCACTCAATAAATGTGATGTATTACGCACCGTCTTCCAACTTTAATATCAAGCAGAACCGTTGATACCGCCTTTTCAAAAGCTGGCAATCTTTGTAATATGGTATCATACTTCTGAACATTTTTGATTAACTACAAAAATAATAATAATAATATAAGTAATAATGAAAAGTTACATATACAATATAAACAACAACAACAACAACAATTCTTACGTCGAGCCAATTATGTCTAACTTCACCAGAATTTAACATCACGTTTCCTTCCAAATTTATTCCGGTGTCATTGGCAAATATCAATGTTCTGTCTTGCAAAATCTCCATTGGTTCTGGATGATGTTCCACTAATGCTCGAAAAGCTAATAAACAACCTCTATAATGAGCAATATTCCAACCACAATCCCACATTATATTTTTCAAACCTAAATCTGAACATAAGGTCTTCTCCAATTTTCTGACCTCTTCTCTTACCGATTTACATGCTTCTAACTTTACATGTACTTCGTTAATGTGTTTTTCAAGATACGCTCTAATTAAAATATATTCAATTAACGTTTTTGATAGAAATGTATTGAATGATTTTAATAAATTATTATTTCTTACTTTAATGTATCCGGCTCAATATTTATTTTTCTTTTCATTATGATCGAAGCATAAATAGGATCATCTTCCAATTCTGAAAAATCAATCGTTTCTCCTGATCTATTTCTTCTCTGCCAATATTTCATATTTTGTGATTGATTATTAGATGGTTTCTCTTTTATTTTATCCACAAATGTCGTTGGCAAATCACACGTCTTTAAGATAGAACGTATAGTCTTTTTTAAATCCTTTTCATTAAGTTCTATTTTAACTAAAGTAAATTTTCCAGCTTTCAGATCTTTTTCATCCTTAGAACGTAAATAAAATGGCAATGTCGTTGGTCTTATAGGTCTTTGTTGTTGCAGAGTTTCTAAGATCGAACTTAATTGTTTCAGAGAATTTTCATTTACGGTCTAAATTGAAAAAAAAAAAAAAGAAAGAAAGAAACATTTACATAATATTAATGAGATTTTAGAAAAATATTATATAAAATTATGCACAGTACAATCTAAAATTAGTGTGTTATATAAATTTTCGAAAATTCAATCTTCGTTATTTGAATATATGAGTGACACATAAAAGGAATAAATGGATCCATTGTTCTCAACTTACTCTTTGTGTGGGATATTGGCCAAAAAGGTCTGGATGAACAGTAAAATAAAAGGGTCGAAGTGCAGTGGACACTTCGCCCATACTTAAAGCTCTCACTGCATCTATCCTACAAAAACTGTCAATACCATTTTTTTTTAATATATCACAATTTGTTCAATTAACAACTTCATTTAAACGATGAATATTTAAAGAACGAATATTTTAATAATATTACCATCTTGCCAATGTGCAATACATATTTTGGATCGAATCACCGTAATGACGTTAAATGATGTTTCATGTCTCGATTAAATTTATCAACTAAAGCGTGATTATTATTGTCTTCATCAGTTGCATGCGTCAAGAGGAGGTCTTGTAAGCGCGGTGTACTTTAATCCCGCGCATGCGCATTACACCAATATGCATCTATATAAAAAAAGTTCACGGGGTTGTTCACGCTGCAAGAATTAAATATCACGCGGTACGCACGTTTACGTGCACATTAAAAACACATTTGCATCTTCGTCATTGACCAACTTTTGACGTAGATACTACTTCAATATCATTGATCTATTTTTGTCTAGATACATAACATCAAATTGTACATCATTTGTACATTTACACGAAAAGTTGACATCTTATGTTCTATGTTATTCTATGTTCATTGATAAAATTTGATAAAATCTTATTATATCTTACTGAATAGAAATAATGCAATGTTTATAATGAATTATGTTGTTTTTTTAGTTAAAACATTGTACACACCCATTGTGTACATGTTTCTACAAATGAATCATTAGTGTTATCTTCAGGAATTAAGAAACTCTACACACGTGTTGAAATAGTAAATATTTATAATGGCATTGCATAAAGTTATGCATCCTAGAAATATATATAAAGAGAATCCTGATTTTAAACAACTTGCTTTATTGTATCCAGAATTTCGCAAAGTTGCAACTACGGTAAGAAAAGAATATTAAAATGATCTAATTGTAATTAATCAATTATACTTATGTATATTTTGTTTTTAGGATCTCCGAGGAAAAGTGCATATTGATTTTAAAAATGAAGATACTTTGCGTGTTCTAACGAAAATATTATTAAAACATGATTTTAATCTGACCGTAGAGATACCACCAAATAAATTAGTACCAACAGTACCTTTACGTTTAAATTATGTTTTATGGATTGAAGATTTGATGACGTATGCCTCTTTTACAGAAATGAACAATGTTAAGGGGATTGATATCGGTATAAAGAATACAAATAATTAATATAATTACAATTAATGAATTTTGTAATAATACTAATAGAAAAGTATGTTGCATATAGGAACTGGAGCAGTTTGTATATATTCCTTGTTACTCGCAAAGATGTACGGTTGTTCTATGTTTGGAACAGATATTGATGAAACGAGTATAGAATCAGCAATAGAAAATATAAAGAATAATTCTTTAGAAAATCTCATAAAAGGTATACCTTTAATTGTTTTAAAAGATGAAGTATAAAAACATATATTACTACAAACAAACTTTTCATTGATTTAGTTATCAAAGTGGATAAAGAAAATATTTTCAAAGAGGTGATAAATGAAAATGAACATTTTCATTTCTCAATGTGTAATCCTCCATTCTTTGAGACTCAAGGTAACTTGGATAAAGTAATAAAACAGCAACCACCAAGAAATGCTCCTACTGGCAATAACGAGGAACTCAGTGTTGAGGGAGGTGAGACATTATTTGTAACAAGAATGATTGAAGAAAGTATACAGATAGGTGACAAGATTAAAATATATACTACTATGCTAGGAAAAAGAAAAAATTCTTTTTACTTTCCTAAGTTTTTAAAAAGACATGGGATAAATAATTTTACATTGACAGAATTTTGTCAAGGATATACTAAACGGTAAACAATATATTTTATTTGAATTCTATTAAATAAATGATGTATTATCAAATTGATTTATTTAGGTGGGGTTTAGCGTGGTCTTTTTTGTCAATGGACACATGCAATCTGAAAAAAGCACCTGTTATAAGAGAAAGTAACATCACAGACATGTTTACAAAATGTCATCCTTTAGAAATTCAATTTCCCATGGAAGATAAATATGAGCTTATCGACGACGTTATTTCAGAGTTAAAGAGGATAATAGCTGAATTACAGGTAATATAATATTATACAATTTTTAGTTACACGATTGTACTTAGTTCCCTTTCTTTTTTTTTCTTTTTAAATAGATGAATATAATAGAACTAGAAAAGAATCGAATAAAAGAAAAGGAATCTGCTAAATGGGTATGTCAACTCACAGCAAGGAATGATACATGGACCCATGCACGCAGAAAACGCCGTTTAGCTGAAAGGCTTAATAAAGATTGCAAGAAAATCAAACTAGAAAGTACTGTAGTTACAGAACAAACTAATAATACAGAATCTGAAGTTGAAACGATACAATCTTCCGATATAAAAGATGAAGATATGCTGCAATCAGTCTGTAAAAAAGATACGGAAATATCCGATCATAAAGAAGATCCGTTTTTGGTTTCAGTTTTGTTTCTTCATGTATTAAAAGATACGAATAATTCTGATAAAAACAATGTTAACATTTGTTTATTTTTCGAAAGTGGAACTGGCGGGAAAAATGCATTGGAAAGATTGAGACAATACTTGATTAATAAATTAAACGTACGAGTACACTTTGAACAATTTTGTTCTACTAAAGGGAATAAAAAGAGAAACAGAAAATATAAAAAGACAAAGAAAAATCCTTCCTGTGAATTAAATAATGCACATGGAGAAGAAGAAGAAGAAGAAGTAGAAGAAGAAAAGAAAGTTGATATTTCGTCAGTTGAGAATGGTGCACCTGAGAACAGTGTAACCGAGAACGGTTAAATTATTTGTTTACTATTATGTATATATAACAATGAGAGACAACGTATTTCACACAATAATTTTATCAGCGCATACAAAAAATATGTCTAAATCAAGTATTTAACTTTATTTATATAATCAAATACTTACAGACTAATGTTTCTTTATCATACAGTTTCCGTTTAATCAGTGTTATACATTTTGTAGGCGGACAGGTGAGGGGAAAAAGGTAAAGTGTATGAACTTGTGTGTTCTTGTTTTTTCTTTTTTTTTTTTTTTAAACAACTTATGGCATGATTATAATAATAAATCACTCATCATTCAGTTCTTTCACTACTGTTAATAATAAACATAACACTTTATGCATCTAAAAGGCTATTTTTTATATTTATCATTTATATTGCATTTAAAACAGTCAGTTTTGGTTTATTATTTAATAATTTCTAAATATTGTTGAAGCTAATCCGATTCAATCGTAATAATTCTAAAAACAACGCTGAAATATGATATATATTTTTGTTTTTCTTTTTTAAAATTCAAATATTTTCGATCAATGTGATACAGAAGAATAAGAAGAAGAAGAAGAAGAAGAAGAAAAAAAAATATTAACATCTTTGTATTAATCACTGATATCTTAGTATTACTCTTATGATATAATTAATGATTACATTAAACTAATGCTACTCTAGCAGTAATTTGACTAATGAGTTGCATCTGCGTGTATGTGTGGATGATTACAAATGTAATAATGTATTTTTAAGTGTGCCATTATGCCAGATCCATCCCCCCCCCACCCCATTATTATTTATTTCTATGCATAATAAAAGGCAAATGCATTATTTATAATGATCGATATTTTTTTTGTAAATAAATGATTTATAAAAAAAGGAACGAAGATCAGGAAGCCCCCTTAAAGTGAATTTCATGAAAATCTAAATAATAAAAAGTAACATTTCATGATTAATGAGCATAAAATGGCATTATACATTTCTCTCTATCATTGGTAACAAGAATAATGAACAATATAAGTGTATTTTTATGACACAAAATGATCACTTTTTAAAATATATGTGTTACTAATAATGTATCCTATCTATAACTATAAAAAAAAAAAAAAAGAAAAGAGAAAACAAAGAATTTCAATGTAATAATAAAGTGTCGATAAACGTTCACAGTCCATTTAAAAAAAAAAAAAAAAAAAAGAGGAAACAAATGTCGTCTTAAGATCTCTTCTCGTATATGCGCAAATATAACACTAAAAGTTTGACAAAATTAAATCAACAACAATGATCAAAATCTAACGCAGTTGCGAGTCGTGTGCGCGAGCGTGTTTATGGTGTATGTATGTATGTATGTATGTGAATATAATGTAATATGTTACTATATAAGTTTTTGCCATAATGAAAGTATAAATATTCGAGGCCTTAGAAAAATGTTTTGCAATTATTATGAAAAATTCTTTTCTTGCTCTTCAATCAAAAATGAATTTTTTGGTTCGATTACGCGTTTGAAATTTTTCTTCTTTTTAATATTTATATCAAACCACACCGATAAATTCTCTTCTTTTTTTTTTTCTTCTTTTTTTTATATATATAAGAGAACAAGATATCTTTTGAACGTTATTTACATTTAAACAACAATTCAATTCGTTTATTGTATGTGATTATGATATCATTAAAGGATTATTATAAGTAAAATCCGCAACATTTTTATTTTTATTATTATTATTTTTTTTTCTTTTTTTAAAGAGCAAACGTCACAGATTTGATCTCGATGAAAATTATTCTGTTTTTTTGTTTGTTTTTCCTTTTATCTCTCATTTTTGTATTTTTATTTTTTTCCAAATGCGTCGTTCCTTTTCCACATTATTGAATTACGACTTTAAAACACTGCACTGCAAAAGTTCCAACATTATTATAGCACTATAAACAAATATAATGCACTATTTGACAATCCTATTACAAAGACACTGCGCCCCACCACTCCGACTTTAATCCCAATCGTATATGTGTGTTCGTATAAGCGTTATCCTTTTATTCAAAGGATTAAACGCTGGCATGATCAGAGAGAGAGACTAGGATTTGAAAATGGTACTACTTAACTCATCTTTCTATCTCTGTGCATGTGCATAAAAAGTTCAGCTTTCTGTTATTACTGGTTCCAACGTTGCCGTTTTATTCTCTTCTAACTTTTTACCTTCGGACTTTGGTTGTTCAACTTTTCGATTTTCTTTATCATTTTTCTTACTTTCAGCGGGTTCAATCGCTTTGTTTTCATTGTCTGGTGTTTGTTCCTTCTGTCGTTTTTCTATTTCCGCTTTGAAATTTTCAATATCCTGTTGACTGATTTGTACAAAAAGAATTCCATTGATAACGTTCAACATGTCGAGAACTGAACCCATACTAGGTGGTTGAACTTGAATAGGTGGTAATGTAACACCAGATTTTCCCGTGTAAATTTCGTTCATCTTCTTTTGCAAAACAACAGCTTGTTGAGTGAGGTGTCTCAAACAGTCGCTACTTTCTTTTGTCTTTTCATGATCTTCACCCAATTGTTGTTTGTAAATTGCATAAGTTTCTTTTTCATTATTTAAAGCTGCACGGAAATCACCCATACATGATTGGGTCCTTGCTACGAGATGATAGGACACTGCTACTTTTAATGAACGTGGACCATGATAACGAAGATTTAAATCCAACGCATGCTCCAAAAATCTAAGCGATAATTCGTACTCCCCGACGGCGTGTAATATTAAAGAAATGTTGCTCTATAAGTATATTAAAAAATATATATATATATATATAATTATTATGTGAAATTTTAATTATATTCTATAATATTTTATCTTAAGAGATAATTATAATTTTAAACTTACATCGAGAAGAGCTACTTCCGGATGATCTTCTCCGCAAACTAATAATGCGAGATAACGTGCTCTATACAATAGTCGTAACGATACTGATACTTGACCATTTGCGAAAGAATATAAAGCTAAATGAATCTAGTACAAAAAAAGAAATAAAAGATAAGTTTCTAACAATCCTTAAGTAATATATTGTTATAGAAAGATATTCATTCAATTTCAAATACTTACATATTCCGTGATAGTGTATGGATGATCAATACCATTAACTCTTTCCGACATGAGCACAGCTTTTTGTTGAGTTGCTAACGCCTCTCCATGATCACCCATTATATAATTCAACCTTGCAAGCATTCTAAGACATTGTGCAATTTCAGGATGCATAGCACCATAAACATTATTCAACAAATTTAATGCTTCACTAATTAATTCATAACCATCTTTCAAATAACCTTGCTGAATTTTACTTTGTCCAGTTGTATAAAAATTGTAAGCATCGCTAGCCTATTAAAAATATGAAACAATTTATTTGTATTCATTTATCTTGAAATAATTCATTTGATAATTTGTCAATTTTAATTCGTGTACTCACTCTAGGATTGATATGTTTAACAACAGGGAAAATATTCAAAATATCTTCCTCAAAGAAAGTGGCTCTATTTCTATTTTCAAAATTATATTCGCGAAGTAAGATTTGAATACCCGTTTTTATACAAAAACCACGAAGCAAGGATATCTTTTGCAAATGGAAATGTTCGATCGTAGAATCCAGTGATTCCGGAGTTGGTGTTTCCCAATCGTAATAACCCTTCAGATCTGCTTTAATTTGTTGCCAAAGTGATTTAGGCGTCAAAGATGCCCATTCTACTTCTGACTGTTGTGGACCATTATTTCTACCCTTTCTTTTATTACGTCTTTTTGCCGTTTTGCTTTGCAACTGAAAATAAAAATAATTATTGTCGTCAGAAGAATTTATTTTTTATCGTGTAAATATTTTACAGTAACTTACTTCTTCAAGATTTTGTTGAGGATGTATGATTTGTGCTGAAGATAGTAAACAATTTAAAAAATGACTAATAGCTGCCGAAAGGCTCATTAATTCAGTACCCTGAAATATAAAAAAAAATAAAATAATGTTAGTAGATTAAAAACATTGTTTTTGTTATCAATAATATTTTGACAATTCACCTGCATATAAGATGTAAAAATATGTTTAGCCGATCGTAAAATAAGTTCGGAAACAGCGATACGATTGAGATATCTTAACTGTGGTACAGCAGCTAACATAACCGCTAATTTTCCAAGATAACGAACGTTAATACCTCTACCATGCAAAGCTTCTATCAAAGTGCTACCATCCATGGCAGCAGCTGTATGATCTAAACATTCTCGAATCTAGAATTTAAAAAATTCATTTGTAATAAACTAACGAGTAGGAAATGCGAAACTGTAATTTTGCTATTATATCCAAATAAACTCACGAAAGTTGGAAGTTGTACGGTTAAAAGAAAATCTGCAGCATCCTTGACCAATTGCTTTTGTTTCTTCAAAGTAGCTCCATTAGGATCTGGATGACGTACACCAGGTGAGAAAACATCTGGGTTAAATCTTACATCAAATTCTGCATCTCGTAAACTTCCAACAGCTGCTGCGGCTCTACGAACTATTTCCTTAGTACTTTCTTCAACTATTTAAAGAAAAACAAGAAAAAAGTAAACAATAAAATTTGAGTAATATTCAAAATATCGATGGTAATTAAATAAGAACATACGTTCTTGTTTTTCACCTCCTGTTATAGAATCAGTAATGCTCTCAACAATTTTTTTCGCTTCATCGGCCTCCATCAAAGATTGGGTTGAGACTTCTTTGTTACTATCAACAGCTACAACGGTTGTTTCATCTTTTTTATTTTCCTAAAATGATCGATCATTCTGTTAGATTAGATATATATTGAATAATTTACATCATGTTACACCTAAAATTAGAAAATAGTATTACCTTTGAAGAAGATTCTTTTTCCTTCTGAGATTTTCGTGCAGACGTGAGTTGTTGAAGATGAATGGCAGCATGTCTAATAAATTGAACGTATCTAGCTTCGACGAAGGAATCGATTAATTCTTGACGAAGACAAGCTAATTTATGTTTATGTTCAATCGGAAAACCTAATGCTCTTGCTTCCTTACTTAACTCAACTCCTTCCACTGAAAAAAAAATAACAAAGTAATATTTAGAAAATATATAAAATTGCTTAATAACATAAGTGTACTCTTTGTAAGTGTTAACTTACGTTTTAAGAAATTAACATCGGGTGGGAAAGTCCTGAGTAAATCTAGAACGTAATGACGAGAATCATTTCCAATGATACCCTTACATTCTACGCTACTACAAAGCTCAACTTCCTCTCCAGTATCATTAATTACTTTGTGAGGCAATATTTTTAATTGCTGTCCAGCTTTGTTTAACTGTAAAAATAAACGTATTATTAATAAAACAATGATATTAAAATTTATTTTAATTTATTTATCAGTCACGCCTACCAATTCAATATATTTAGGGTGTGTAAGAACAGTTTTCCCAAAATCTATAGAACCATATACAACAGATTGTTCTTGTTCACGTTCTAAGATTCCTGGGATAATAGATTGAGCAGTAACACGATAACCTCTGCAAATATTAATAATAGAATGATTCAAAATGAAACATTCTTTTTATATAAAATCTTTTCATTTCTAAAAACATACCTATAATCTATAACAACAGTGCCAAGAGTATAGAGTCCAAGTAAATCAACAGCAGCATAAACTCTAACCCCTTGCAAATCATTACGAGGAGCAACGAATGCGGCAGCATCACCACCAAGTTCCTTGTAATGATCTCGTACATCGAAGCCTAAAGAGAAAAAAATATTGTTCCAAATAAACATTTGCATCTTAGCTTCCTCGCCCGGATTTATGGCCATGACGTTGCCATCGATTACGGCTACCGCGCCTCGAGTCGCTGCTGCGACAAAATCACTGTGAACCTAAAGAGAGACACTTCTTTATTAATACCATCAAATAATACGACGATATATTCAAAGAAAAAATATTTAAACAAATCAAAAAATAAACCTTAAAAATGGCACGTTCTCTTAACAATCTCTCGGGTAAATTTTTACGAGGCAATTCTCTGGTAGTTTGCAACTCTTCATTCCAATCTCGCGTTTGTCCTGGAATGTGTTCCTCGTAACCCAATTTGGATGAGAAAGCTATAAATAAGTAATAAAAGAGTGTTACAAAAAAAAAGAAATACAGTAATAAAAAACTGTAATTAATTTTATCATAATTATTACTCTAAAAGCTATTTGCATATTTATGATTAGAACTTACTATCTTCGGCACGTATAGCGTCAATAGTATGCTCAGTTTGTGGAGCACTCCATGCATAAAGTTGATAGGGCGTGGCGACTCTTTCGAAAGGATGTCTCTGGGTTCTTCGTCTTTGCATGGCAGCGAAGCCTCGTTTAAAAGCTGGACTTAATTGGTTCAACAACTCTATCAAGCTATGGCACAAATGACTCGGCGTTGCTGGTTTTGGATTAAATACCTCCTTTGTTGATTGATTAACAAAGAAACCCCTAGCACAGGCCGTTAAATAATACTGCTTGTCTTCCAGAGTTATAACATGTAAATATAGAAGATCACCGTGTAATTTTCTGTGACCTGGAGGTGGATTCCATCCGGACGTAGTTAACACCTTGTAATTGATATAATACATTGTATTTAAATAATAATAATAATATTATTATTATTGATTAACAATAATATTCTATAATATTAAAAAATTGATCTCACTTTTAGGCACGGCGGACATTTTTGTTCTTTAGCTTGAGGTTGCAAAGGTAATAATGGCCTGTCTTTACAGCCAGGTATAATGTAATCCGGTGGAGTGCAATCGACCGAATCCGCACGAGTTTTCTTTTTCTCAAGAATATCACCATTGGTAACGACGTTTAGGAACGATAGACTACTACATTCAACGCCATTGTAAGCGTCCGTAGGATCTACAGATTTCAATAAATCTCGAACATGTCGAACATGTATACGAGCTTCTCGCATCGTGTAAGGTTCTTCTACGACCTTAATAACGGAACCTTCTTTTAGGCCCTCAATATTTTTCAACTCGGCAAAATTGTCCAACGTGTTACCATCGAGTTGAAGGGAAAAACAGGTACGATGACAAGTGTCCTCACGATCCATAAGTAATTGATGGATTTCCTACAAATTTATTAAAATATATGAATGATTTTGTACATAGGAAATAAATTTGTGATTATTGTTTTTTTTTTGTTTGTTTGTTATTAAATGATGATCATACCTGTACCAATTCCATGCTAGACACCTGAATATCAAATGGCTCGGCGCCAGGGCTAACGATTTTAACAGTAAATCCCATATCTTGGATATAAACAACTTCCTGTTCATTTGCCCCATCTTTTTCTTTATCCTTGTCTTGTTCTTTATCCTTGTCTTGTTCTTTATCAACTTTTTCTTCCTTCTTATCCTTTTCTTTTTCCCCTTCCTTCGTAGCTTCAACCTCGCCCTTTTCTACAACATTTTCTGCAATTGTACTGGTGCTACCACTTTCTTCACCGTTCTGCTTCACTTCTGAAATACAAAAAAAAAAAATAATAATAATAATAATAAAAAGATGAAATTACCATCAGTCATTAGATCTTTCATTAATTTTCAAAATGTTACTGTCATTAAATATTTTGATTATTTCGTTATGAACATGTAGATGTTTTCTTGGTACCACCACAACTTGCATTTACCAATGCGCTTATAAATAAACACCAATGTAAATAGTACGCACTCAAATGTCGTACTATTTTTATCGATCCCATGTTTGCAATATATCTATCTGTATAGATTATACAGCGGACATCGATCTTACATTTTTATTATGAATATTTAACGCATCAAACAAACAAAAAATATATTTGGAATATTTTATCTTTCGAAAAATATGGAAAGTTAGAAATATTCCAAATAAATTCAACAAAAAATAAAATTCTTCGACAAAACTTTTCGACTTTATCGCTAAAGAAAATCATCTTATCTAAGCGATTACAATTCTTTATTATTTTTATTTATTTTCTCAGGTAATAAATCTTTAATTCATAGGTATAATTTTGACTTTATCGCTAAAAGATAAGCGAAAGGAGAAAAAAATAAATAAAATCATAGAGGGATGAAGATATAATTGAAATGAAGAGAAAAGAAGAAGAAGAAGAACAACAACAAAAAATAATTAAACGGATTTGAGCAACGTAGTCATTTCGTATAATTTAAAAACAAAAATTATTACTTTGTTTTTCTTAGCTCGCATAAATGCAATAATAAATATTGCGTAATTGCAATATTTGCTGTATTATTAATAATTTCTTCTCTTTTTTCTTTTTTTTTTTTAACTTTTTAAATTTTCTAATTTCATAATCAACAATCGAATTTATTTAGATTTAATCTAAAACATTTGACGAAAAGTTAAAAAAGACATCTGTGACCAATTCGAAATGTTAAGCATTATTGCATCATGCGTTCTACAAAAATTGATTGTTTCCAAAGATAAAAAAAAAAAAAAAAAANACTTTTTAAAATATATGTGTTACTAATAATGTATCCTATCTATAACTATAAAAAAAAAAAAAAAGAAAAGAGAAAACAAAGAATTTCAATGTAATTTTGAAGCTTTTGGGATCTTTGGATGGACGACGAGTAAAAAAAAAAAAAAAAAAAAAACAAAAAAAAAAAAAAGAGGAAACAAATGTCGTCTTAAGATCTCTTCTCGTATATGCGCAAATATAACACTAAAAGTTTGACAAAATTAAATCAACAACAATGATCAAAATCTAACGCAGTTGCGAGTCGTGTGCGCGAGCGTGTTTATGGTGTATGTATGTATGTATGTATGTGAATATAATGTAATATGTTACTATATAAGTTTTTGCCATAATGAAAGTATAAATATTCGAGGCCTTAGAAAAATGTTTTGCAATTATTATGAAAAATTCTTTTCTTGCTCTTCAATCAAAAATGAATTTTTTGGTTCGATTACGCGTTTGAAATTTTTCTTCTTTTTAATATTTATATCAAACCACACCGATAAATTCTCTTCTTTTTTTTTTTCTTCTTTTTTTTATATATATAAGAGAACAAGATATCTTTTGAACGTTATTTACATTTAAACAACAATTCAATTCGTTTATTGTATGTGATTATGATATCATTAAAGGATTATTATAAGTAAAATCCGCAACATTTTTATTTTTATTATTATTATTTTTTTTTCTTTTTTTAAAGAGCAAACGTCACAGATTTGATCTCGATGAAAATTATTCTGTTTTTTTGTTTGTTTTTCCTTTTATCTCTCATTTTTGTATTTTTATTTTTTTCCAAATGCGTCGTTCCTTTTCCACATTATTGAATTACGACTTTAAAACACTGCACTGCAAAAGTTCCAACATTATTATAGCACTATAAACAAATATAATGCACTATTTGACAATCCTATTACAAAGACACTGCGCCCCACCACTCCGACTTTAATCCCAATCGTATATGTGTGTTCGTATAAGCGTTATCCTTTTATTCAAAGGATTAAACGCTGGCATGATCAGAGAGAGAGACTAGGATTTGAAAATGGTACTACTTAACTCATCTTTCTATCTCTGTGCATGTGCATAAAAAGTTCAGCTTTCTGTTATTACTGGTTCCAACGTTGCCGTTTTATTCTCTTCTAACTTTTTACCTTCGGACTTTGGTTGTTCAACTTTTCGATTTTCTTTATCATTTTTCTTACTTTCAGCGGGTTCAATCGCTTTGTTTTCATTGTCTGGTGTTTGTTCCTTCTGTCGTTTTTCTATTTCCGCTTTGAAATTTTCAATATCCTGTTGACTGATTTGTACAAAAAGAATTCCATTGATAACGTTCAACATGTCGAGAACTGAACCCATACTAGGTGGTTGAACTTGAATAGGTGGTAATGTAACACCAGATTTTCCCGTGTAAATTTCGTTCATCTTCTTTTGCAAAACAACAGCTTGTTGAGTGAGGTGTCTCAAACAGTCGCTACTTTCTTTTGTCTTTTCATGATCTTCACCCAATTGTTGTTTGTAAATTGCATAAGTTTCTTTTTCATTATTTAAAGCTGCACGGAAATCACCCATACATGATTGGGTCCTTGCTACGAGATGATAGGACACTGCTACTTTTAATGAACGTGGACCATGATAACGAAGATTTAAATCCAACGCATGCTCCAAAAATCTAAGCGATAATTCGTACTCCCCGACGGCGTGTAATATTAAAGAAATGTTGCTCTATAAGTATATTAAAAAATATATATATATATATATAATTATTATGTGAAATTTTAATTATATTCTATAATATTTTATCTTAAGAGATAATTATAATTTTAAACTTACATCGAGAAGAGCTACTTCCGGATGATCTTCTCCGCAAACTAATAATGCGAGATAACGTGCTCTATACAATAGTCGTAACGATACTGATACTTGACCATTTGCGAAAGAATATAAAGCTAAATGAATCTAGTACAAAAAAAGAAATAAAAGATAAGTTTCTAACAATCCTTAAGTAATATATTGTTATAGAAAGATATTCATTCAATTTCAAATACTTACATATTCCGTGATAGTGTATGGATGATCAATACCATTAACTCTTTCCGACATGAGCACAGCTTTTTGTTGAGTTGCTAACGCCTCTCCATGATCACCCATTATATAATTCAACCTTGCAAGCATTCTAAGACATTGTGCAATTTCAGGATGCATAGCACCATAAACATTATTCAACAAATTTAATGCTTCACTAATTAATTCATAACCATCTTTCAAATAACCTTGCTGAATTTTACTTTGTCCAGTTGTATAAAAATTGTAAGCATCGCTAGCCTATTAAAAATATGAAACAATTTATTTGTATTCATTTATCTTGAAATAATTCATTTGATAATTTGTCAATTTTAATTCGTGTACTCACTCTAGGATTGATATGTTTAACAACAGGGAAAATATTCAAAATATCTTCCTCAAAGAAAGTGGCTCTATTTCTATTTTCAAAATTATATTCGCGAAGTAAGATTTGAATACCCGTTTTTATACAAAAACCACGAAGCAAGGATATCTTTTGCAAATGGAAATGTTCGATCGTAGAATCCAGTGATTCCGGAGTTGGTGTTTCCCAATCGTAATAACCCTTCAGATCTGCTTTAATTTGTTGCCAAAGTGATTTAGGCGTCAAAGATGCCCATTCTACTTCTGACTGTTGTGGACCATTATTTCTACCCTTTCTTTTATTACGTCTTTTTGCCGTTTTGCTTTGCAACTGAAAATAAAAATAATTATTGTCGTCAGAAGAATTTATTTTTTATCGTGTAAATATTTTACAGTAACTTACTTCTTCAAGATTTTGTTGAGGATGTATGATTTGTGCTGAAGATAGTAAACAATTTAAAAAATGACTAATAGCTGCCGAAAGGCTCATTAATTCAGTACCCTGAAATATAAAAAAAAATAAAATAATGTTAGTAGATTAAAAACATTGTTTTTGTTATCAATAATATTTTGACAATTCACCTGCATATAAGATGTAAAAATATGTTTAGCCGATCGTAAAATAAGTTCGGAAACAGCGATACGATTGAGATATCTTAACTGTGGTACAGCAGCTAACATAACCGCTAATTTTCCAAGATAACGAACGTTAATACCTCTACCATGCAAAGCTTCTATCAAAGTGCTACCATCCATGGCAGCAGCTGTATGATCTAAACATTCTCGAATCTAGAATTTAAAAAATTCATTTGTAATAAACTAACGAGTAGGAAATGCGAAACTGTAATTTTGCTATTATATCCAAATAAACTCACGAAAGTTGGAAGTTGTACGGTTAAAAGAAAATCTGCAGCATCCTTGACCAATTGCTTTTGTTTCTTCAAAGTAGCTCCATTAGGATCTGGATGACGTACACCAGGTGAGAAAACATCTGGGTTAAATCTTACATCAAATTCTGCATCTCGTAAACTTCCAACAGCTGCTGCGGCTCTACGAACTATTTCCTTAGTACTTTCTTCAACTATTTAAAGAAAAACAAGAAAAAAGTAAACAATAAAATTTGAGTAATATTCAAAATATCGATGGTAATTAAATAAGAACATACGTTCTTGTTTTTCACCTCCTGTTATAGAATCAGTAATGCTCTCAACAATTTTTTTCGCTTCATCGGCCTCCATCAAAGATTGGGTTGAGACTTCTTTGTTACTATCAACAGCTACAACGGTTGTTTCATCTTTTTTATTTTCCTAAAATGATCGATCATTCTGTTAGATTAGATATATATTGAATAATTTACATCATGTTACACCTAAAATTAGAAAATAGTATTACCTTTGAAGAAGATTCTTTTTCCTTCTGAGATTTTCGTGCAGACGTGAGTTGTTGAAGATGAATGGCAGCATGTCTAATAAATTGAACGTATCTAGCTTCGACGAAGGAATCGATTAATTCTTGACGAAGACAAGCTAATTTATGTTTATGTTCAATCGGAAAACCTAATGCTCTTGCTTCCTTACTTAACTCAACTCCTTCCACTGAAAAAAAAATAACAAAGTAATATTTAGAAAATATATAAAATTGCTTAATAACATAAGTGTACTCTTTGTAAGTGTTAACTTACGTTTTAAGAAATTAACATCGGGTGGGAAAGTCCTGAGTAAATCTAGAACGTAATGACGAGAATCATTTCCAATGATACCCTTACATTCTACGCTACTACAAAGCTCAACTTCCTCTCCAGTATCATTAATTACTTTGTGAGGCAATATTTTTAATTGCTGTCCAGCTTTGTTTAACTGTAAAAATAAACGTATTATTAATAAAACAATGATATTAAAATTTATTTTAATTTATTTATCAGTCACGCCTACCAATTCAATATATTTAGGGTGTGTAAGAACAGTTTTCCCAAAATCTATAGAACCATATACAACAGATTGTTCTTGTTCACGTTCTAAGATTCCTGGGATAATAGATTGAGCAGTAACACGATAACCTCTGCAAATATTAATAATAGAATGATTCAAAATGAAACATTCTTTTTATATAAAATCTTTTCATTTCTAAAAACATACCTATAATCTATAACAACAGTGCCAAGAGTATAGAGTCCAAGTAAATCAACAGCAGCATAAACTCTAACCCCTTGCAAATCATTACGAGGAGCAACGAATGCGGCAGCATCACCACCAAGTTCCTTGTAATGATCTCGTACATCGAAGCCTAAAGAGAAAAAAATATTGTTCCAAATAAACATTTGCATCTTAGCTTCCTCGCCCGGATTTATGGCCATGACGTTGCCATCGATTACGGCTACCGCGCCTCGAGTCGCTGCTGCGACAAAATCACTGTGAACCTAAAGAGAGACACTTCTTTATTAATACCATCAAATAATACGACGATATATTCAAAGAAAAAATATTTAAACAAATCAAAAAATAAACCTTAAAAATGGCACGTTCTCTTAACAATCTCTCGGGTAAATTTTTACGAGGCAATTCTCTGGTAGTTTGCAACTCTTCATTCCAATCTCGCGTTTGTCCTGGAATGTGTTCCTCGTAACCCAATTTGGATGAGAAAGCTATAAATAAGTAATAAAAGAGTGTTACAAAAAAAAAGAAATACAGTAATAAAAAACTGTAATTAATTTTATCATAATTATTACTCTAAAAGCTATTTGCATATTTATGATTAGAACTTACTATCTTCGGCACGTATAGCGTCAATAGTATGCTCAGTTTGTGGAGCACTCCATGCATAAAGTTGATAGGGCGTGGCGACTCTTTCGAAAGGATGTCTCTGGGTTCTTCGTCTTTGCATGGCAGCGAAGCCTCGTTTAAAAGCTGGACTTAATTGGTTCAACAACTCTATCAAGCTATGGCACAAATGACTCGGCGTTGCTGGTTTTGGATTAAATACCTCCTTTGTTGATTGATTAACAAAGAAACCCCTAGCACAGGCCGTTAAATAATACTGCTTGTCTTCCAGAGTTATAACATGTAAATATAGAAGATCACCGTGTAATTTTCTGTGACCTGGAGGTGGATTCCATCCGGACGTAGTTAACACCTTGTAATTGATATAATACATTGTATTTAAATAATAATAATAATATTATTATTATTGATTAACAATAATATTCTATAATATTAAAAAATTGATCTCACTTTTAGGCACGGCGGACATTTTTGTTCTTTAGCTTGAGGTTGCAAAGGTAATAATGGCCTGTCTTTACAGCCAGGTATAATGTAATCCGGTGGAGTGCAATCGACCGAATCCGCACGAGTTTTCTTTTTCTCAAGAATATCACCATTGGTAACGACGTTTAGGAACGATAGACTACTACATTCAACGCCATTGTAAGCGTCCGTAGGATCTACAGATTTCAATAAATCTCGAACATGTCGAACATGTATACGAGCTTCTCGCATCGTGTAAGGTTCTTCTACGACCTTAATAACGGAACCTTCTTTTAGGCCCTCAATATTTTTCAACTCGGCAAAATTGTCCAACGTGTTACCATCGAGTTGAAGGGAAAAACAGGTACGATGACAAGTGTCCTCACGATCCATAAGTAATTGATGGATTTCCTACAAATTTATTAAAATATATGAATGATTTTGTACATAGGAAATAAATTTGTGATTATTGTTTTTTTTTTGTTTGTTTGTTATTAAATGATGATCATACCTGTACCAATTCCATGCTAGACACCTGAATATCAAATGGCTCGGCGCCAGGGCTAACGATTTTAACAGTAAATCCCATATCTTGGATATAAACAACTTCCTGTTCATTTGCCCCATCTTTTTCTTTATCCTTGTCTTGTTCTTTATCCTTGTCTTGTTCTTTATCAACTTTTTCTTCCTTCTTATCCTTTTCTTTTTCCCCTTCCTTCGTAGCTTCAACCTCGCCCTTTTCTACAACATTTTCTGCAATTGTACTGGTGCTACCACTTTCTTCACCGTTCTGCTTCACTTCTGAAATACAAAAAAAAAAAATAATAATAATAATAATAAAAAGATGAAATTACCATCAGTCATTAGATCTTTCATTAATTTTCAAAATGTTACTGTCATTAAATATTTTGATTATTTCGTTATGAACATGTAGATGTTTTCTTGGTACCACCACAACTTGCATTTACCAATGCGCTTATAAATAAACACCAATGTAAATAGTACGCACTCAAATGTCGTACTATTTTTATCGATCCCATGTTTGCAATATATCTATCTGTATAGATTATACAGCGGACATCGATCTTACATTTTTATTATGAATATTTAACGCATCAAACAAACAAAAAATATATTTGGAATATTTTATCTTTCGAAAAATATGGAAAGTTAGAAATATTCCAAATAAATTCAACAAAAAATAAAATTCTTCGACAAAACTTTTCGACTTTATCGCTAAAGAAAATCATCTTATCTAAGCGATTACAATTCTTTATTATTTTTATTTATTTTCTCAGGTAATAAATCTTTAATTCATAGGTATAATTTTGACTTTATCGCTAAAAGATAAGCGAAAGGAGAAAAAAATAAATAAAATCATAGAGGGATGAAGATATAATTGAAATGAAGAGAAAAGAAGAAGAAGAAGAACAACAACAAAAAATAATTAAACGGATTTGAGCAACGTAGTCATTTCGTATAATTTAAAAACAAAAATTATTACTTTGTTTTTCTTAGCTCGCATAAATGCAATAATAAATATTGCGTAATTGCAATATTTGCTGTATTATTAATAATTTCTTCTCTTTTTTCTTTTTTTTTTTTAACTTTTTAAATTTTCTAATTTCATAATCAACAATCGAATTTATTTAGATTTAATCTAAAACATTTGACGAAAAGTTAAAAAAGACATCTGTGACCAATTCGAAATGTTAAGCATTATTGCATCATGCGTTCTACAAAAATTGATTGTTTCCAAAGATAAAAAAAAAAAAAAAAAAAGAACGGAATAAAAATTAATTAGAAGGGCTTGTGTAACGAATGAAAGGTAAAGAAACATTATTGAAGATATCGGAGGGAAAACAGTACAATCGTTGTTTTAATGGCTCAATAGAGAAGACAAGACCGATAACCTCTTCTTATCAATATTTTTTTTTTTTTTTCTATATTATCCGCCATTGTATTTTTGAAACATATGAACGAAAGAAAAATTAATTCACATTGTGACGCACGTATTGTAATTTTAATTCTTTATATTTCTTAAATAAAAAAAAAAAATAACATAAAATAAAATAAAATAAAATAAAATAAAAAACATATTTTATTTTATTTTTAAATTTTAACGGAAAGCGGGAAATAGCTTGCATTTTTGGAAATTGATCAAAATTCAAAAATATTTTTTTCCTTTATCGTTTGAATAATCAGTTGTCTTATTTGCACATTGTACGTATAATTTGGACGTATAATACGTGTACATAATTAAGATAAAAAAATTCCAATTGTGTAGAGAGAGGATAATAAAAGAAGTAAAGTAGTAATGCACATACGTTGATATTACGTACACAAAATAATATCAAACAGAAAGAAATATGAATTTTCACTTATGTCGTTTGACTGACGTAGTAGTAGTAGTTCCATCTTTTAAAGTAACAATGTGTAGTATGTGTGTAGTTCGTTAACTCGCACGTGTCTCTTTTCCTGTCTGCTCTTTTTTTCCTCTAACGGAAGAAACTAAATACATATGTATTTTCTAAGAGAAAAAAGAAATATAAAAGAATAGAAAAAAAAAAAAAAAACAGAAAAACAAAAAAACAAAAGAAAGAAATGAACAAGAATACATATATATATATATAATGTTCTTGATTGCACATGTTGTTATGTTCAAGGAAAATGAAGTAATGTGCGTTGCTTTTATAATCTTATTAGATTTGATAACTCCTCAATTGCGTAATGTAATTTATACGCTTGAAAATCTCCCTGTCATGTATTAAACGATAAAACTATTTAAATAACCAGTTGCGCTCGCAAAAATGGCATAACCTCGACGATCAATGGATAATAAAGTAAAACAAAAAAAAAAAATGCTTTAGTAATTATAAGCATTTAAAACAAAATAAAACAAAAAAAAGAAATAAAGAAAGATAATAAACATATTTTATTGTACAATGAATCATGATTTAAATAGAACAACAAAGTGAGCATTTTAAATTCTTTTCTTTTTTTTTTTTGTTCTTCTTCTAGTGTTTTATTTGATATTTCGTTTTTTTAAATATTCTCATGTAAATAATAAAGTAAAAAATGGAATTAATTAATAACGAAAGTAATAAATAAACGTAGAAATTAATTTAAAAACAAATTTTGTTATTTATTTATGGGACACCGTATTTCAACTTCTACAAGTAAAAAGTTCAACTTTTTCAAAGTTAAAATACACGCGGTGTGTCTCTTCTACCAAAGGCTTTACCCACCAATGGCCGTTATATTCTCTAAGCTATTACCATCACAAAAACGAACTCTATAACTTAACTCTACTAGGAGTCGACACGACTATCAGGCCAACGACGACGACGAGTATTTTCCTTGCAAGCTGTGAGGAGCGTTAAAAAGGTGAAGGGTCAGCATAAAAGAATCCCCTCGTTCGATGAATCGCTGCTACAACAAATCGAATTCTATCAAACTATCAAAAACAGACTATCGATATTTTATTTATCGTATCGTTAATCGTGCGTTTGAAATTTTAAACGAATGCGCGGTTAAACAATTTTTCGCGGGGATAATAAAAATGGACGAATAAAATAACAGAAATAATTATCATTTAATTATTATTATTATTATTATTTTTTATTTTATTATTTATATTTATATATATATATAAATAAAGAAATGTATATTTTAACAATAATCTGAAAAATAATTAAATCTTCTGTACTGTACAAAAAATGCATAATAATATTAATATATGATCGTTGTTAATAAAACATGTCAGCATTATCATATAGAACATTAAATGTTATATTCAAATATTTTCATTGAAAATTTAATTATTATCTCAAGTAAAATAATTAAATATCTTTGTTAAGGATGCATCGATTCTAAAAGATTTGCAAACAGATGCATAAATGCGGCGCATAGAAGAGAATTCGTCGTACGTTGAAAATTAGATCGTTTTCAACTATGATGGATATTCTACATATATATTTATAGACACGCATATATATACATATATATATCTATACGTAAATAACAGTAAGACAAAAATAGTAAATATGAATAAGAAAGTGTTTTTTAACGTTCCAAAATATAATGATAGACTAAAAGGAAAATTAAAGAAAAGAAAAGAAAAGAATAGAAATAGAAAAAAAAAACTAAGTAAGCGTAAATTCGTCTGCTAGGTAGCGTTTCGGTGCGTCTTCTGCTAGATTCCTTCTCTCTCTTTTTCTTTCTCTCTCTCTCTCTCTCTCTCTCTCTTTCATTCTCTTATTCTCCTTCTCTTTCTTTCTACATGGTGCTCACATGACTCCAGAACGAGCGAGATTCGCGCAATTTGAGAGATTATATAACTTAACTCTAGGACCCGGCAAGAAGGATAGAATGAAGAAGAAAGAGAGAGAAAGAGACAGAAAGAAAGAAAGAAAGAGAAAGAAGATGCGGCTTAGTTAAAAAACATATTACGAAAGGTCGACAGAAAACTCGTGATAATAAATCGAACGATTCCAAATGATCGTCCTATTCGTGTTATATTACGTAACAAGGCCCTTTATAGAAGAGACACACTATGATTACAGGTTTAACCTCGAAATAAAAATTAAATAGAGTTAAAGTATTAAGATATTACCGGCGGGCACATGTCTATCTCTTATCTCGATGAAATATAATTCCTAGTTTCACTAACCGGTTTCGTTCTGATCCTCGGTGCCGTTCAGCAATGGTATTTTCACGCTCCCGTTTTCCCCGGATGCCTCGATCTGAGCGCCCAGTGCCATTCCTCGTCGATGACAAATTAACGTTAAAGTTAATTTAAATTTTTAAACCGATATTTCAAAATTAACACCAATCTCGACTGTTAAATTTTAACGGATAAATCCACTCGATTGTCTGAGATCGCGCCACTTACTTTTTTTTTTTCTTTATTTCTTTTTTTCTTTCTTTCTTTCTTTCTTTTTGTTAATTTTCGAAATGTTACAATAAAGACAGATTAAATAGATTGATTGATGATTGATAGATAGATAGATAGATAGATAGACAGACAGAAAGATAGATAAATAGAGAAAGAGAGAAAGAGAGAGAAAAGAGAGCACGGATAGACACGATAGACGAAGCAACTTTTTCACGGGGCGGCACACTACTCGGCTCCGTGCTGTACCGAGCCGCTTTTCTCTACCCGCACGTGTGTTTCGAACGGAGTACAAAGTCTAACCAACCAAATTGATCGAACCAAACCTTACGCACGCGACACTTCGATCGCTCGAATGCAACTCGCACGATCACTGATACGTCGAACTTCAACTACTTCCTTATTGGCTTATTGATACGGTTACGCCCCACCCGACTTTGTTTTTTCATTGGATCAACTTCGAATACTCCCATCTAATTGGTCGGCAAAGGCGCGTGTGAACATTTGTATTACATATCGAAGAAAAGAATTTACGATCATCCGCATAAGACCAACGTCCTAACCTTGCGGCGATTTGTAATTATTTTCTGACACAAATTTCAAATCTAATCATTATCTATATTAATCTACTTTTTTTTCGTTAACGTCAATACAAGATTTTTGATATTTCATAAATTTTAACGATTTTTCTCAGTGAACTTACGTAGTAGATTTTATTCGTGATATTTACTATTTAATTCGTAGAAATATGTCGGCAACTGAACTACCAGATTTACGATTAGGACCTAATCCTAACGTTAATTATCCGATTCAAGTACAATATTGCGGAAATTGTACTCTTCCTATTGAGGTAAGATGATGAACTGTCAATAAACTGTCAATGTTAGATAAATTCCTTTTTTCTCAGATGTCTTTTATATATAATAATTATCCTGTACTCCCTTGCTAAAATAATGTTTTTCTTTTTAACAGTATTGTGAATATTACCCGGAATATGAAAAGTGTAAACTCTGGTTAGAAAGAAATTTGCCAACTGAATTTGAAAAGGTTAAACTAGGTAAATTATTCAACGAATGATTAATAAAATTATCGTATACAATTCATACAGTAACAATCTATTTATATGAAACATATTTATTCAGTAGTATATTGCGTATAATACCTTTGCAATTTGCATGCGAATAGTAGAAGATGGAAGTACGGAAACTGGTGGAGGAGAAGATGAAAAGAAAAGGCAGAAACGTGGTGGTAAAGGTATGCTGAAAACAAAGAAAAAGGAAGACGTTCCTAAATTAGTTACCGTATCAAGAGCTCCAAGAGGAAAGAAAAAATCTGTAACGGTTGTCTCTGGCCTTAGTACATTTGGTAAGTATCATATATGGAATTTATTTTGTTCTATTTCTATAAACTAATTACTTATTATAATTTGTATTATTAACTTTTCTATAAATGTATTTGATATTTCTATAATAAACTTAGCTTGTGGAAGAAGATATATTTTAGTTAATTCATTCGTTCAGTCATGTTTAACCCTTATCGTATGATAGATATTAATTTGTAATTATCTCTTTATCAATACATTATCATTTTACAGATATAGATTTGAAAGTTGCTGCTAAATTCTTTGGTAGCAAATTTGCTTGCGGATCTAGTGTAACAGGAGACGATGAAATTGTTATACAGGGTGATGTCAAAGATGATTTATTTGAAGTGATTCCAGAAAAATGGCCTCAGGTATATATTATATAGATTTTTATAAAATCAACTTTATATCTATATATATGTTTTTTTATTTAATTTTAGATTGATGAAGACTCTATAGATGATTTAGGTGACCAGAAGAGGTAATCTATTGATTAAATTTGTGACTCGCACAAATACATATTTAATATGCTATTTACATGGATGTTTATTATAAATAAAATGTATATAAATAATAACATTTTTTGTTTATGTAGCTTTATTTAATGTCGCATCAATCAACAGGGATTATTAGCGACAAACAAAAATTTTATTTACTATTCTTAAAAATCTCACAGCTCTCTAGCATCCCTCTTCTTCTTCTTGTTCCTCTAATGGTTCTTCGAAACAATTTTGAATGATTTCCAATAACGATTCTACTTCTTCATTGCTTAAACGTTCTTCGCTGTCTTCTATAATCTACAGAATTATAATATTGATTATTTTGTTATTTATTTGTTTATCATATTGTAAATCATAAAAAAAATGAAAAAATTAATACCAATTGGATTTCGAGAGCTGTTTTAGGACAAATGTTTAACAATGTTAACTTCTCTGATTTAGTTAGATTGAAAGATTTCATAGCTTCTAAATACTTTCTGATTTTCTCAGGAGTCTGTTTTTTACAAGGGGTATCTTCCAAATATCTTATTGTTTGATAAGTAATAGTTGCTAATTGATTTTGAGTCATTTTTTGTTTTTTATTCGATTTCATACTTTGAAGCATATCCAAAACTTCATAATTACTTAAAAGGGCTGAACAAGAGTTTAATCTGTAAATAATCATTAATAATTTCATTTTTTTTTTATCCTCGCAATACACATATACATATAAATATAATGTTAATAACAATGTTACTACTTACACTTCCATCTTATAAGAAAAATAATTTGTCTTTTGTAAAATAATAAATTATATATGAATGGTAATTCGTGTTTTTTGTTTATGATATCTTGACTGAAAAAAAAACAACAAAATTTATAAAAATATAAATTCTTTAATAATAATTTGTAACAATATCAATCAGAACTATAATAAAGGATAAATCACAGGTACTTGTACTACAAAGAAAAAAGGTTAGTTGATGAATTATTATTATAGGTTATGATTTTTACTAATTTATTTTTTCATTAGAATATGTTTACTTTTTTTAAAAGGATAAATATTTATTAATAACACAATTAAAATGTTTTCTCAATGAAACGCGTGCAAATTTACGGTGGAACTACTTTCTCACAATGTGTATACAACATGAACTGAAAATGATCTCTATGGTTAACAGCTGATCGAAATCAATGTTTACAAATATATAACAAAAATATGAAATTTTTTTCTTCGTAGATTGACCATATATTACTATATAAAAAATACAAAATAATTTTTTAAGTTATCATTAAATTTAATAAATAAATATTAATAAAAGAAAAACATTTCATTATAAATAAATAAATAATTCACATACTATTGAAAAATTTCAAACCTAAAAATCAAAGATCATGAATAATTGACGCAAGAACGTTCCAAATTAAATTTCTTAATGAAATTTGTAGACAAAAAAAAATATAAGTACATAAAAAAATTTATTTAACAAAGAAACAAAAATAAGAAAGAAGAAAAAAGGAATGGTCAAGCGTGATACGTCCCTGAATGTACGCGTCTAGTGTACCGACATGGTACACTAGTGCCACTTCTCCCTATACGGGAACCACGTCAATTAAATTCTAGTATAATGTAACGTTCGAGAGATATAGCTTTATATATGATGTCCAAGAGTGTACTTGTTATTAATAATAATAAATTTTATATTTTCTCGTTGGTAAATTCAGAAAAAAAAAATAAACTCTTCAGATAGCCTTTATCTACTATTCTGGTTCTCCACACTGAAAGCGTTACGTAGTGACCTCTGTAGTAAATGTAGTAAAATCGCTAAATGAATAAGTTCTGGGTATCTGACATTTTCCACGGATATCACTCTGTTCATGATTCGCATTGTTTGGTGTTTTCGAACGTGCCCCCTCACCTCTGGCAGTGTAACAGTGAACAGTGTGTAATGTTTTCTGTTGACGATTTGTAAAATTAATTGGATACGATTACAGCGCATAAAATACTCATCGGTATACCGAACGGAAAAAGATCACTAGGTAGATCGAGATATAGATGGGAGGACAATATTATTTCGAGATCTTAAAGAAATAGGCTACGAAGACAGCGAATGGAGGAGTTGCACTCAGGGACGGAAACACTGGCGGGATTTGATATTTCCGGCAATGAACTTTCGAGTTCCTAATGCCAAATAATAATAATAATTGGATACGATTACGATATCATGGTGGTACGTTAATACGTTAATGAGGGGAAAAACAAGGATATGAAAATTTGTGAACGATACAACAAGGCGGAAGATTCTTCACGCTCATATCGATCCCATTACCACGGGCGATGCATCTTTTCATTTGTCAATCTGAATGTGTTTGTAAACTACTGACCTTGTCCGCAAAAGATCGGTGAATCACTAATCCACCTCCATCCCTTATCCCCCCATTTATTTGTACCTTTTCCTTCTTATATGTCACCGATACGAAACTGGAGATAATTATTTCTTTGGAATGGAGGTCATCGGTGATTACGAGTATAACACCAAGGACCTGATAGGTCACGGTGCATTTGCTGTGGTTTACCGAGGCAGATTACGTGATGTAATTATTTTTCTTCTAGTTTGTTTTTTTCTTATTTTGCTTACCTTGTCACACGTGGTAACCAATTGTCGTGACGTATATTTGACATTTAGCTAAACCTAATGCATTATAGTGATACACTTGTTACGTTTGTAGGAACCTAATTACGTAGTGGCCATCAAAAGTATAACAAAGAAGAGTTTAGCCAAATCGCAGAACCTTCTTGGCAAGGAGATTAAGATTTTGAAGGTATGTTGTTGTTATATTGGTTTATATAAAGAATGAAAGAAAATTTAGCATTTATTTATTATTTGTTTTATCTTGTAGGAGTTAACGGAACTACATCATGAGAATGTAGTTGCTTTGCTAGATTGTAAGGTAGGGATATTTTTATATAGTCAAACAAGCTTTTCTTCTTAGAGTTAACAATGTTATTTCATCATTTCAGGAATCTAGTCTTAATGTCTTCCTGGTTATGGAGTATTGTAATGGTGGAGATTTAGCTGATTACTTAGGAGGTATATATTATTATATTTATCATTCTATTAAGAAGTAATATCATTTATATTTTTTTCATTTTGTTCGATAGCGAAAGGAACTTTGTCAGAGGATACTATTAGAGTATTTCTCAAGCAATTAGCAGGTGCAATGAGAGCGTTACATGCCAAAGGTATTGTTCATAGAGATCTTAAACCGCAAAATATTTTACTCAGTCATAACTGTGGCAAAGCATGTCCACAACCACATCAAATAACGTTAAAAATAGGTAAGATGCATACGAATAAAATTATATTAAATATTATTTAATAAAATAACAATTCTATATTACAGCGGACTTTGGTTTCGCACGCTTTTTACAAGATGGAGTAATGGCTGCTACGTTGTGTGGTTCACCAATGTATATGGCACCCGAAGTAATCATGTCACTTCAATACGATGCGAAAGCAGATTTGTGGTCTCTTGGAACAATAGTGTTTCAATGTCTTACTGGAAAGGCTCCATTTCATGCTTCTACTCCACATGCCCTTAAAACGTATTATGAGAAAAACGCTAATCTCGGTCCAATGTATGTCTTTTAAAATCATTTTTAAAATTTTATGGATCTACTTTGTGTATATAAGATTTGACAAATTTACCTTCAAAATGAAAAGATAAAGTATATACGTTAAACAAAACTATAATGGGTTTCTATATTATTATTATTATAGTATTCCTCCTGGAACTTCACCAGCATTAACTAATTTGTTATTGGGCTTGTTGAGACGCAATGCGAGAGATCGAATGGCCTTCGATGAATTTTTTGGTCACCCTTTTCTTCAAGGAGCTAGGGAAAGTCCCAGTCCAGTTCCTGCAGAATTACCAGCTTCACCTGCAACATGTTTAGCTGTTCCGGAAGCAGGAATTGCTGTAAGATCTGAACCGGAACCAAGTAGTCCATGTTCCAGTCCAGATGATGACTTTGTGCTTGTTGTGCCAAGTGATCTTAATAGTGATACAGACAATAATACTAACACGCAATTCAAGTAAATAATTTTTGTTTAACAAATACGCACATTTGATAAATATCTCTATTTAGTTATAGGTGTTGTAATCAACGTTACAGGTTCACGAAGGTTACTACCAGAGAGGCAATTAGTCCACCACGTCCAAGCTTTTTACCCATATCTGAACCAATCCCAGTTCCCACGCAAAGAAGCACAGCACATCCATCATCACCTTCTGGTAATGTAAGATCTGGAAGTAGCGTCGTTCCTCGTTCTCAGCCGATCAGTATGAAGCGAAGTGTAGACTCTCACAGAAGTCATGTTATTGATATTGGCTCTCTTAGTCCACCTAGTGTGCAATATGCAATAGGTACACCACCTGGTAGAAGGTATGGGAATAATATTCTTAATATTAATTTATAAATATCACTATATCTTCCATATTCGTAGAATTATTTCTAGATTGAGTGAAACACCACCACCTCCTAGTACTTGGCAAGTTAGTCCAGTGGCACGACATTCACACAGTGGAACATCGCCATTACGCAGATCAACGGGAAACAATAGTGCATCTTCACCGTTGCTTTCAGGCCCATTGGCAGTTTTAGGGTCCCCTACTTTAAAAGCTTTTCAAGATAATAATAACACACTTAGGCATTCGCCTGTTATTCCCTTTGGTACAAGAGCTGTTACTCTTCCAGAAATATCAGGTTTATTATTATTTTTAATTAATTATTACTATTTCATTATTATTATTATTATTCTCTTATAACTTTTTTTCTATTTACAGAAGCGGGTAGTTTTCAAAATCTTTTTCCGGATAATCCAACTTCAACAGAAGATCATTCATTGACATTTATAGCCCCAGAACTCCCAGAAGAAACGCTTTTGGAACGAGAACATTCAGAGATCTTAGCAAAATTAAACTTCGTTGTGGCATTATGTGAATGTGTATGCGAAGTTGCTAGAAATAGAGCTGGACCATTAGGTGCACCTTTGGGTGGTATGGAACAAGCCAACAATGCAGCCACAAGAAGAAGAGCAGAACAAGTTATTTTATTAGTGAGAGCTCTTCAATGGTTGAGTTCTGGGCTAAATCTTGCAACTCAGCAACTCAAAGCTGGTAGATTGCAACCTACCGCAAGTGTAAAAGAAGGTACTAAATTTCATTAAAAAAAAACTAAAAAATAAGTTAACGAGTTAATGGATAAATATAAGATATTATTAATAAATATATTTTTCTTTTTTAATTTTGTAGTTGTCAGTACAATGAATGAAAAGTTTAAATCTTGCCTGACAGAATGTAAACAACTTAACAGTGTAGGATTACTTCGACAACCAGGAGCTACGGCAGATAAAATTTTGTATAATCATGCAATACAAATGGTAATAAAAAAGTTAATACACACATTCAATTATTTTATAATAACATCTCATCATTGTAATAATTATCAATTTTTATTTTTTTCCTTTTAGTGTCAGTCTGCAGCACTCGATGAATTATTTGGAAATCCTGCTGAGTGTTTTCAACGTTACCATACGGCGCAAATATTGTTACATTCATTATCACAACACATCAGTCACAGTCAAGACAAAGCATTACTTATTAAATGTAAGTGTTCTTTTTGGTATTTATTAAAAGTTTCAAATAATCACAATTATTAAATAATATATTATATTTATATATCATTTTTAATGTCTTACCTTTATATTTTGATTCTTTCTTTTCTTTCCTTTAGACAAAGATGCAGTTGAAAAAAGATTATACGTACTTCAGCAGCAAGGTTATATCTATGCAACTGATCCTACGTAACGTTCGTGAAAATCATCAACTGTGTGCTATTTTGCACTCAGGCCAATACTACATTTGATACCTCTGTTGTGTAAGATCGTTTACTCTATTCTGTATAAAATAATACATTAATTTACTTTTGAGATTGTTTAGAAAAGATAAATATATAAATATGCGATTTAGTTTTCAAACATAGTACGAATTGTTAGAAACTTATGCAGAATAGAGTAGACTTGAACGAATCAAGATTTATGAAAGTGATTCCTCTTAAATTAGTTTATATATAATTTATCAACCAATACCAATAATGAATTATGTCTATATACTGTATAATGTACGTATGGTTGATTAACTAATCTTTATTTCATATCAATTAATAAACATGTGTATACTAACAACAATTATTTGTGCGTTTTAATGCAAGGCACATATTATTTACTAAAAAGCAGTGATATTATAACAACTGTAAAAAAATAGAATGCTATATGCGGCGTCCTTTAAACCAATATTACTACATTCTTGTCTTTTTTTTTTTTCATTGTTATTTTTTAATTCAATAAGTTCTTTATTGTTTTTCTTATTCCTTCTTATCTTCTATTGCTTTTTGTGGATTATCCCTATATATTACATAATTTAATGTCGACGCAAGGGTACACCATGCAAAGTAGGGAATAATTAATAATCCAGCTAATGGATTAACTTTATAAAAGGTTACTGCCATTGCTGCTGATGTTCCCCATACTAGTAGAATATCATACAAAGCCTAAAAAATGAATATTTCAAAACAAAATAAAATCTATCTGATGACAAATAATATTATTCCAAATTATTGAATTATATTACTTGATGACAACTAAATTACCAATTTAATTTTGTGTCCTCCAAAAAAGATAGGCGTCCAAGCCCAATTCAAAGCTAAATTAGCACCATATATTGAAAGTGGTAAGGCTACTTCTTTACATCCTCCACCATCTCGCCATACTAAGTACGAAGAGTAACCTATTGAACTGTAAAGAGTTGTCCATACTGGCCCAAATACCCAATTTGGTGGTGTCCAAGATGGTTTCTTCAAAGACTAAGATAATAGATGTTAAAAAAGATTATTTTAAATATAAATTCGCATTATATATAATAAAAATTATGCTTAAACAAAAAATTATCCTCATTTATCGAGAAATTTAACTTAAGCATACATCTACATAAATCTGTACAAAAAACAAAAATAATTCTAATCATTTGAGTAACATGTGACAGTACAGTAATGTTAACAAATGAGTTCAAAAACTAGGCGGGTCTTTTATCAATATTTCCCGCCATTAATTTTTAAATTACAAAATCTATTATAATATGCATTTCCTTCCGGAATGACATAATGCTCATAGTCCAAATTTTTGTCCTTGTTTTTTTTTTCTATTTCTTTTTTATTTTTTCAATTTTCTTTGTCAATCGCTTAGCGTCTATTGCGTGACTAAAGAAGAATGATCGATAAGAGTAGAAAAAAAAAGAGAAGAAAGAAAAAAAATTCTTCAACTTACCGCATACCATGGATTTAGATTTTTTCGTACATAATAACTACCTAGCCATCCACCGATATTTGGATGTACCACGCTAATTACTACCGGTAATGATTCTTTAATCATCATTTTTCAAATATTTAATTATTAATTCTTGATAAGCTCTGAACTGTTGGCTGATATTAGACTATACTAAGAAGTCGATGCTTTCACGATCGTTCATACTACTAATATTTAAAATGAGGTGTAACTTGTGTATATGTATATTCACAAACGCCGGCTTGGTATCTTCGTGTGTAAAGACTTCTGCGCATATTCCATACAACTACATAACATATATATATATATATATATATAAATATATAGCATATTACGTAGAACTGTAAATATGTATGCGTATACATACATAGAAACAAATTATCATGACGTGGAGAAACTTCTATAAGAGTTTGTTGAGATAACAAACAATAGGTGGGGAGAAATTTCTCCTCATTTATTAGAATTCTTTTCATTTTATATAATAACTGCTTATGATATCAAACAAACATTTCAATTCGGTAACAAATATACCGACTCATCAATGATTTGTTAATTTTTTTATCAATGTGATGCAATTATCACTTTTTGTACGTAAACTCTTCTTTTCTAAGGATAACTAAAAGGAATACATATTTCTAGATTATTTTTAATTGAAATATTTTTTATCTAACGTCATAAATTATTCGAGTTTTCTATTTATCGTTAGTACTTACCATTCTAATTAGTATTAGCTTTTCAATCAAATTAGTATGCGTACAGTGTAAGTACTTTCACGATACATTAATAAACCATAATGAGTTTCTTCTAAGAAAATTGAATTAATCATTTAAACATATTCTATTTCATTATTGTTCATTTTATCTCGTAAAATATTTAATTGTATTTTTTTTGTTTTTGTTTATATTAGTCATTTTATTTTTGAACTTGTAGAATACAAGTTAATTAAAATGCAATAAAAAGGCCGCCATTTAAAGAAATTTTTTTTAAAGATTTTTAAATTGCCAACATTAGATAGTTAGTTTAGATTTATCTATAAAATGGAATCGTGATTTTATTGGTTATCATATTTATCGGTTACTAAAGTTATTATCGAATAAGATTATATCGCTTATGTTCATACAAGTTTATTTTGATCGATATTTTTTTTCGATCGATCGATAGATTGATTTTTTTTTTTACCAAATCATCCGTATGATGGCCATTACGTTAGTCTTATTGTAACCACTTTGTTTAAATTTTTGTACAAAATGATATGTACGAGGTAATATCGTTCAATAATTGCTTGTTAATTATCTATAATGTACATTTTTATTAACTGTAATATTAATAATAAATTTGTTTGTTGTTTACTTCAACAAAATGAATATATTTATAAATAATGAATGCATTATTATTCAGGTGTACTAATTACGAGCAGAAAACAGAATTACCGAGGGTAATTCAAACTCAATTGGATTTAAAACAATACAATATACAAGGAACAATACATAGACTCGATTGTAAAAAATGTAATAAATTTATAGCTGTAAAAGTGAACGATGATATTTTAGATATAAATAATAGTTTTCAAGATAAATACGAAAATAATTGGTGCGAGGTAACGTTTATAAAATGATTTTTTTTGATTAACGTAGTACGATAATACATGTGATTTGATTAATGTAGTTACTGTATGAAGTACGATTTTTTTTTTTTTTTTTTTTAGGTAAAGACCAATCAAGAGAGATTAATTTATTATATACTATGTCAAATTATTTACCTTGAATTTGATACTCCTAAAGCGGAAAAATTGGAGACCCCATTTGATTATGCTGATAATTTTGATATTGTTTTGATTAGATGGGAAAATGGTATACCTATTGGTTTTTATACAGTTAAACCTAAAGGTAATTAACAATTTGAATTTTTTTCAATTTAAATTAAAAATTTTTTTTACATTTATAAATAAATTATATTTTTAGGAACTGAAGTTTATTCAACAAATGAAATATATCCGATGCCAGTATTAGATACGGCATATATTCGATCTAAATACAGAAATAAAGGATTCGGTACTGAAATTTTATTTGATATGATCAAACGTTTTCCAAACGAGGATATTGGATTTTCTAAACCTATTTCTAATAATATGTTGAAAGGTAAACAAAAAAAAAATAATATTTCTATGTTCTATTGATTTTCATGTAATGTAAGAAGTAAAAAAATGTAAACTGTGATTATTTTTTTTTTACAGTATTAAAAAAATTTTTAAGAAATTACAAGGAATATAGATTACGATTTTGGGAAATAGCTGATTGGGATATTTATGATTCACAAAAATTGATATGGTTTGGCGTAAAAGATAAATTACCTTAACGAAGAATATTTTGATTTTATTCAAAATGCAAAGCTCTTTGAGTATTATAATAAAATATGAATATATTTTCTAAAGGAAAATATATGTTGTTATTGTACATAGATCTGAAATAAAATAAATTGAACATAATAATTACTATGTATATTATATAATATACATTACCTCTATAATATTATATATTATATAATATATATGTTTAATAATTTTATGGTAACATAAATTGAATGATTATAATATTTGATTAATATATGATATATTTTGTTTTATCGATAAATCTTCCTATCACGTGTGAATATAAGAAATGTTTCATTCATTTTAAGTTACTCTTTAATTCATTTAATAAGATTGAACCTATGACCATTTTTTCACAATTTACACAAATTTCCAAATGTTCTGTGTCAATGATTTTGATTGTTATTAATACCAATGATTTAGATGCTAAAGTATGAGCAGCATATCTGGAAATTTCAAAAATAAATTATACAATTTATAGAATATAGAAAAATATAGAATATATTTTTTTTTTTAAATGTGAATATCTTTTTAAAATAATTTACCTGATTATTTCATTTTCGCTTGATATCATCGCGACGTTTGCAGTTTCGAAAATTTTTTCAGACAGACGTTTCCTATTACCCGAAAATGTTATTTTTGCTGAGTTTTCGTTCATACCTTTTAATTTAGCTTTTTCGTTGTTAAACATTGTTTCTGGTAGCAACACAGATCTAATTAATTCTCCGATAGGAGCTTTGATAATCACAGGACAGGAATATTTTTCTTCGTCGATTGTAAAATCAATATTAAAATTTGCCGGTTGCATAGAGTCATTAAAATTAACACCTAACGTAGAAGATAAAGTCGAGTTTATTTCTAGCAATGATATTTTCATAAAGTCATGAATTTGCATTCCTTTTTGAAGATTCTGAAAAATAAATATATAATAAAATAATATATATATATCACATCCTACTATGATTATTTAAAATTAACATATTCATGCTTAATTCAAACAAAATATTTCACCTTATTTCCAATTTGTATATCTTTGATTTGTTTATTTCCTTCGTTTGTAAATGTTAATTCAATGCTAATCAAATGTGGGCTAACTAAATGTTGTGATCTTGTAAATCTGTATTCCACTTTCAAACCATGACCTGTAATACTATTCAACATTTCATATTTTTTAATAGGTATAAAAGAGGTAGACACTTCTCTGATGCCATCTGAGGCAATTGGATTGATAGGCGTTAAAAATCCACCTAAACTTGGCGTCATTATTGGTGTCATTGGTACAACTATAAAATACAAAGTTTATTTAGTTTCTATGTTTTAGCTTCATGCATGAGTAATGTTTTTTTTTTTTTTATATATGTATATAATTTTACCATCATCTAAATCTAAAAGTAAATCTAAGTTGCTTTTTGGTTTCTCTTTTTGTTCTGGTTTAATAGTTTCTTCCTCTTCTTCTTCCTCTTCTTCGCTATCTTGAGAATCGCTGTCTTCTTCTGAATCTGACTCTTCCTCACTATCTGTCATACTATCAGATTCTTCTGATTGTTTTATTATTTTCTTTTTGTCATTATTTTCAGACTTATCTGTTTCATCTGAGTATTCAGAGGAATCACTTCCTTCACCAGAACTCTCGCTTGTTGATGTTTCAGAAGATTCATTTTCCTCTGCTGTTAACAAGATTTAACACGTTTGACTTTTAAAAATTATTCATTTACAATATTAACAACAACTTACCCTCATCAGCAGTACTTTCTTCATCGCTATAAAAAGGCTTCTCTTTAGCTTTTTGTTTCTTTTCTTTTCTTTCCTTACGAGTATATTTATATTGTTCTTTTGTATCTTGCACATTAATCGGTTCTACATTTCTAACAGATGGATCTGGTGCTACTTCAGGGAAAGGTGGCAATGGACGATATCCTGCACATGGCATATTTAGATAATGAGACAAAGTACCTAATTGAAATTCGGAATCTTTGAACCTTGAAGTTAATGTAGGTGCTGGTTTTGGAGCTAAGAAAATTCTTTTAGCAAATTCAGGAAGTTTCTTTTTTGCTTCGTTATCTTCCGAAAAAATAAAATGTTTCAAGAAACGTGCACGGTCCCTGATGTCATAATTTTGATCATATTTTGCAAGTTGGAAGACGTATTGACAAAATGGTTTAGTTTGTATCGGATTGTTCAAATACAATTTCACAGCTAAATTGAGCGTTTGTAATTTAACGATGTCTTGTTCGTTGATAAAATTTTTAGCCATCTTTCTTAAAACATCAGGTGCAATTTTTGGTACGCGATCTGAGTATTCGCCTAACAACCATAAAATAGACGCTCTTGCTTGTGGTATTGTTATAAAATCCATTAATTTAGCCATGTGAGCGATTATATCTTTGTGTTCATTTGGTTGGGTTTGCAATAATTTTTTTATCACAACAACACTTTCTGCCACAACAGCTTCTAAAGAAACAAAGGAAATACACACACAGGTGTAGAAAAATATTAAAAGTTAATGATTTTAAACCAATGAAAACTCTTACCATCCCTGTTACTTAGCAAAGAAACTAAACCATTTAAACATGTATCTGTAACTTCTTTTATATTACTGGCGCATCTACCGATAGCTTGAATGCTAGCTCCAACAAATTCTTTATCGCTACTTGAAATATATGTTTGGAATTCTCTCAGTATTACCCCAATGCTAGTTTCAGTAGCTAAATTTGTTAATATATCTAATTTTAATAGTTTTATATGCGTGGGATCTGAAGTCCTTACAAAAAATGATTTTAAGAAGGGTTCAAACATGCCCTGTATAAAAATAATACTAAAATTAATAATCTATTCTATATTATATAATAATTGATTAGATTATATATATATATACGTAATTAAATAGTTTAAATAAGATATTACAAATAATGTACAGTATACTTTAACATTATACTTACATTACCTTTCTTGTAATTGACATGCTCGCAATGCAATGTAGTACAATGCTTTGAACTTCTCTATGACCTCTTAATAATCTTATTAATGCTTTAGCCGCGATTATAACTTCACTACGTGCTGCTGTATGATGATACAATTGTGATACCGCCATTACAACCGAAGCATTACGACTTTGTAAAAGCGGTTTTGTATTTCGTAATAACAAACGATGATCAGGATCTATAGAAAATTTAGGTTTTTTTGTATTAGAAGAATCCGAATCTGAATCGTAAAATGGACGATTGTCATCTTCTTCCAAGCTCTAAAAATAATTATATTTCTCAGAATCATTTGTAATAAGAAATCAATCAATTTGACATCAAGTGTCTTACGCAGTATACTTACATCTATATTAGGATTAATAAACTGCGCTCTGGCATATCTTGTGAGCATGTTAACTATGACTACTTGACCCCACTCGTCAACATCGACTAATAGATTACATAATTTTCTATAATTTTTATGAATCAAATCTATTCTCTCTGGACAGACTTCTTCAAAAGCCATTACTGCAGAGCCAACAACAAGAGTTGTCTTGTCTGACAAAAGTTTTTCTAAAACTCCAATCAATTCCTCTTTTTGTTCAGGATCTAAAGAATACAGTTTAGGAATAGCATGTGCTGCTGTTTTACGTACATATGGTGACATATCACTAGCAGAATCTTTAATGGCAAGCATCACAATTGGTACAATCATAGAAACTCTGATGCTAGACAAAACTCTTAATGCACTGGCTCTTATCAATTGATTGGGATCTTTCAAAGCTCTTTGGAATGTTGATATCGACAACAGTGCAAGATCTTGTTGGTCTTCTGCGTAACGTACTAAATATACATATACCAATTTTTTAACTTCAATGTTCTTCGATACAACATTTTTTACTACAGCTGGAAAAAGTTCTGATGCATCTCTTCCTTTAGCCACCATCTACAAATTATTTATACATCTTGATGATTTTATCAGTTTTTTTTTTGTTTATGATAAAGTTTAATAATCAATTGTGAGACATCATTTAATTACCCCTATTATACGTTTCATAGCTTCTAACTTTAAACCATCTTTGTTACTATCTAACATTTGCTTCAAATCTTCATGTCTGAAAATATTATTCATACTAATTTTTATACATATATAAATGCATACGCGTACAAAATATAAATATACATAATATTATAAAATAATAATTATATAGTATTCGATTAGATTAATTAATTTAAATTACTTTTTATAATCTGAATGGAAAAATCCACCAGATGCAGGATCAGCTGCAAGCTCCGGATCTCCTGCACTTGATGGCCTATCACTACTGTATGATCCACCATTGTTTGATAAAGTATTTGCTGCAGCAGTTAACATGATGACTCGATCTTCCGATTGATCGTATTGATATAATTTATTAAATGAAATGTTTTGTAGTTTTCTTTTTTCAAGTAACACGCTATTTTTCAAAACTTTTGACAGCCAGCTGTACTTGCCAAGAATCCATAATATTCCAATGACAGAGTCGCCAACAGTACAAATTCTAATTCATATTTGTCCAAATCTATTTCTAAATTTGATTTGTTTAAAATTAAAACAAAAAACAATAAGATATTAAATTTATTTACAATATATATGAATATATTTGATAAATATGTATTATAAATAATTTCAATATATTCAAAATATGTTCTATTTTTATTTTTAATTTACATGTAATTCTGATGCATCTGAAATTTTGTTTCTAGGTATTTAACCTATCACAGAATCACGTTTCCTATGCCGTGATTTAACCTTAATCTATTTTCATCTAAAATTGAATGATAAACATATTCAATTTATTTTATCTTTAACAATAACATATAGTGTTTGTTGTCAATTTAAGATAACATTATATTTATGAAAAATAATATTTAATTGTTTAGGTAAATTGATTACTAATAATGAAAAGAAAAGTGAGGTTATAATTTTGTATATGCATATACATTTGATATAATTTTCAAATTTATTGTTGATAAATTTATTAAATAAAAGGATAAAATGTTTGTTCATTTACATTTACGACTGTTCAAAAATACCGTGTCTGTTTTAAAACATGGTTCGAAGAAGTATTTGACAACTGTATCCAATGAAAGTCAAATTGCACAAACTGTGCATTATCCAGAAATATTGGATATGTCTAGAGAAGGTAGAAAAAGGAGAGGGTGGCAAAAATGGTATGATGAAATTAAAAGACTACCGACTGTTGAGGAAAAACTCTTTAAAATCAATATGCCACGTTATTATGGCTGGAAATCATTACTTTTGGATGAACATTTCATACCGTATAATTCTTTGGATCACGCTCAATATATTACAAGAACTTATGTTATTCCAGAACGAGGATTACCAGATTTTTATAATAATGTCATAACTAATGAAGAACTTGAATCTATTTTGAATAATATTAAAAGCACTATCGAAGACACCATTGCATTTGAATACTCTAGTAGAAAGTAAGTATTAAAAGTAAGATTTTAAATTCATTTATGATAATAACATGTAATAATTTAATTTAATTTTTAATAATAATACTTATCGCGCGCGTATCATATATCTTGTAATATAATTTATATGCGATTAGATTTTAAGTTAACTTTAATAAAAATTGTTATCGCATTTCAGAAGGAAACACGAATTAAAGGAAGAAGAATTAGACAGTAAAGTAAAGATGGAAGAAGTTGTAGCAAACTCTGTGGTATATCAAATAAATAGAATATTACAATCAAATATTGTTACTATTAGACCGCATTTGTTGGAAGCTCAAACAGATTTTGATCCTCGCGTTGAAGCATTTTGGTTTGTTGGTGGAATAGAACCATCAGGATTAACAATGAGTTCAAGAAGAAGAGGTTGGTTTAAACATACTGTCAATGATCCAGTACATAATACTGTACAGTATTATGGTAAATCTGTTCTTCACTTGCGACATGATTTTCCTCTGAATGAAATTATGTCTTTGAAAGAATGCGAAGATTCTTCTTTCACTGTTCCACAATACAAGTTAGATCCTAGGTCACTAGGATACGTTTTTAAGTATAAGCATGCTACAAATATACCAGGATTTTGGCCTGGTGATCCATGTGAATTTGGTCTTTTATCTTACCATAATTGTGCATATTTAGCTGAAAGAAAATTTGATGATAAAGATGATACTCTTCTTACACAAGCTATCTTTGCTTCATATAGTTGGTTATTATCACAAGCTTGTTATCAAGGTATATTATTAAAAATATTTTATTGTTTATTATTAAATTATCTCTTGATTTTAATTTTATTCATTTCATAGGTTTTTCAACATTTCATGATCTTACATATCCATTAGTCAATCAAATGGCTATAACGAATGGCCAATACTGGTCATTGTATGTTTATCAACTTAATACTACTCTACTGCATTCAGAGAATTCCGATGAAAATCCAAGACGTAATATATGTTGGGCTAAAGATTCTGTTAAATTATTTGATAAAGTTGAAGGTGAAAAAGTTCATGGCTTGAACACTGATGTTCTTAAATCTTTAATTAAATTTTATGCTAACACTCCGATGAAAAGAAATATTAACATGAAACCATATTTGGGACAATATGTTCAAAAAATAGCTGACATTAAATCTGACATACGAAGAGATTGGTTGGAAAGATATTATAAACATCTTGTAACGAATAGACCACGTCATAGGTAAAGTTACAATTTAATAATACAACGTAATCATTTATTTTAATCTTTTTTTTTTTTTTAACGTATAAGTCGAAGGTTTAGACATTAAAAACGATATTACACAATCAAGTTTAATCATATCTTTTCTTTCCTTCACAGACATGCACCAGAGATATACGATTGGCAAAAAATTTATCTTATTGATAATAAAATGTGTCCTCTGATGAAAAAGAGACATCCGTTTCAATTTGGAATTGCTGTTACACGGCGTAGATTGGATGATCATGCTAAAAAATGGATACCAAGACGTTTTAGACCAATTCCAACCAAGAAGTTTGGTAATTACGAACACACCTATTACCCATAAAGTTGAAATAACGTGTTGTCTTTTTCTTTTACCTTAAGATGTAAATAATATTTCACTTTAAGATTTGTGTTCATATAAATATTTCATAATATAGTACAACTTTTAATATTTAATAGTTTTATTTCATGCAGTACAAATATAAATTTCTAAATATTCCAATAAAATATCATTTATATAATCCTGTTCCCTTCATATATATTTAGTAATCCTTATATGAGATCAACGAAATATATATTTACTTATTTATATATTATAGTATAAATTGAATACGCATTTACTGTAATTGTAATGATACCGCTCTTAGAATCTATAATTGTGGTATTCTTATCTTCGGAGCTCCTAAAAGAAAAAAGAAAAAATATAATCAAATTAAGGATTGCAAAAGATATGCAATTTTGATAGAAAATATGAAGATGTACAATACCTATTGTATAAAACAACTACGATACTTTTCGAGGGAGTTTCGAAAGCGATAGTTTGGATATCTTTAGTTATCGTGCTATCAATCCTTACAGAATATGGTTCTACAAATCTACTGAAATGTTTGATCGCATAGTACATCGGTTGTTTGTAAAATTCATCATTTGTAGTATTTACTATGATAGATGCATCAACAAAATTGAAAATATTATTTGGACCACCATGTTCATTCAAGACGAGATTCCAATCAATCCATCCTTCTACCCAATGTCTTAAATTCTAAACAATTGATTGGAAGTAAAGAAATAAATATATATATAAAAAACTATTTAACAAAATTTCCTATTAGTTAAATCTATAAAAAAAAGAAGAAAATTCAAACAATACCTGAATTATGTCTAGAATATATCTCTCTGCTCTTTTCCAAGATCCAAGTTGTACTTTTGGATTATCGTTCGTTTTAAAACCTAATAATAGAATTAAAATATAAAAGAATAAGATGATAAAAAGATTTCAAGGGAAATTTAATTTATTTTAAATCTATTCAAAAAAAAAAAAAAACACAACTTACCATTGCATGCTTCAGTTATAAGCATATATTTATTTGGATACTTGTAATGAGTCGCGTCTAATAATGTTGGGGAAAAGTATTCGTCCCAATACCAGTGTAAAGCAATGCCACTAATATAATCCAGTGCCTTTTCATTAGATGCAAGTAAATCGAAAAAATGTATTAAAGTATATCTTTGATCATCTAAAGCTAAGATGGCCGTTTGATTGAATTCCGAACGAGCTAAAGTTGGTCCTAGATAATCAGCTATCCATTCTCCTAAACTAAATGGTGTCCATCCCATATCATTTAGTTGAAAATTAGGTATGAACGAACTGGTAGGTTCATTTCCCGTTGAAATAGACCATATGTCAATGCCATGACTTTTATATGATTGTAAAAATTTCAATAAATAATTGGCATACGTTTGATAATATTTTTTTATAAGTACACCTGCAATTACGTGATGACGTTATCGAAAGAATTCCTTGAAAGGAACAAAAACAAAATCATTGCCATAATAAATAATTATAATATTTACTTAGGCCACTAAATTTGTGATTAGTTTTCATCCAAGTCGGTGGACTCCAAACAGCTGCAGTTAATTTTAGATTAGGGGATATTTTGACAGCTCTTTTGATAAATGGTATTTTTAAATCAATATCTTCTTCGGCTAATTTAAAATGCTCGAGATTTTTATCCGGTTCTGTTGTATCGTCCAACGAATATTTTCTTAAAGAAAAATCGGTACCACCGATTGGTACACGAATAAAACTATATCTGCTGCCATTTCGACCGAAATATGATCTAAACAGAGATACCCGTATTTGTATTATTAATATTATTTTTATAATCAATAAATTTTTATAATCAAATAAGAGAGAACATATTTTTTTATATAATTTGTTAAAATAAAAATAAAAGAATATTTATTGATTACTCACTGCAGCAGTATCTCCTGAGTTTGTTCGCTCAATTTTTTCCAATGATATCCTACAACATCAGTCAATGCTCCGCCAAAACCTTTTATTGTCTGAAATTTCTTATCTCTATTAATATCTATACTATATTTCATAACATTTAAGTTATTTTTCCAGTCGTAATATGACATATTAATAGATTGTTGCAAATTTCCTTTGGAATAACTCAATCTATGACCATCTAAACTGGAAATATATACATGGTAGCTTCCTTTTTCCGGTTCCCCGATATCCGGTGTCGAATCGCAGTAAGTTGAATTACAAACGCACACGATACTATCGTAATCGAATTTACGTGATATGCAATCATTTGCACTGGCTAAAATAAAATAAATTTAAGCAGAAATATATATAGAATAAGATTTATATGACGAATAATTTTACGATCAAAGTTTTACCTTGCCAGATGAAAAATACGACAAAAAGAAGACTCTTTTTGTAAATAGAGTAATCGTATAACGATCTATAAAATAAAAGAGAAAAATATTATATATATAATTATTTGTTAATCGTTGTTAAATAAAAAATGTACTTAAATTTAAATCTTGTTATGCGATAAGTAGTACAAATAAAATTATCGAGGAAAGTTTTATCATGAAATTGAAAGTACGCTAGGACTTTCAATTTTGATTTTGTGAACTTTGGATTTGATATAGAAAATGATAACAGTTAATAGTGATTTTAATATTGACATATTCCCATCGAAGCAACGACTGATGAGATTAGAAATTTTCAATGACAATGAAGCAGAAGAAAATAATCAAAATGAAAATAATGATACATATATTGCGATATTGTGTGTGAAGATGTAAATAGTAAAAATTATTCTCTTTATATTGAAACAGAAAAATATCTAATTGTAAGGCACTAAAACACTAAACTAATTATTTTTATGATAATTATTTTAAATAACCACGGCTTTATGTTGGAAACTGTTCTAAAGAAAGATTAGAAATTACAATTTTTACATAAATACATTACATTAAAAAATATTATTGCGTAACCATATATATTTAAAGTTTAAAAAAGAATTACTAAATTTTGTTTTTTTTTCTTTATAATCTTATAATATAATATGTTTTATTGTTCGTTAAATAAAAATTAATTCCAATCGGCATGATACTTTTTAATACGACTGCGAAGGATTAATGTCCTAGATGAATTATTTCAATTTTTTCATTTCAACCTTGTTGAAGAAAGATTAGAAATTACAATTTTTTCATAAATACATTACATTAAAAAATATTATTGCGTAACCATATATATTTAAAGTTTAAAAAAGAATTACTAAATTTTGTTTTTTTTTCTTTATAATCTTATAATATAATATGTTTTATTGTTCGTTAAATAAAAATTAATTCCAATCGGCATGATACTTTTTAATACGACTGCGAAGGATTAATGTCAATTTTTTCATTTAAACCTTGTTTTATATATATAACAATAATAGTAGCTGATAAAGAATCAATAAAAATAATATATAATTATTTTAAAAAATATAATAAAGATATTTTACTTATACGTCCTCAAATAAAATTTATCACTAAATTTTATAATACGACTGTTTTCATTTAATATACGAAAAAAAAAATACTAATATTTATTAACGATTTTATAAAAGATATTTATTAAAATGCACAACTTAAAAATTGATTTCTTTTCAAATTTTTCTTTATACAAAATTACATATTTTAGATAAAAAAATACTATTAAAAAAAAAAAAAAAAAAACACGTTTACATAAAGATCATTATTATAACAAAAATTGTACCTTGATGCATATCATATCGAAAGAAATACGAATAAGAAAAAATAATATTATAACAATCTAAAATAAGAAGAAAAAAGAACAATTACTTAAATTTCAAAAATTACAAGTATTAAGCAAGATCAAATATAAACAAAAACAACAAATATCTAACTATTATTAAAAATAACTATCTATAATAAATATTAATAATTAATCGTAGTAACATTTAACAAGAGAATAATAATAATTGATGAATCTATCCAACTAATGTTGTATATTAATTCATTAGAAATTAATATTAATTATTCATTTCTTGTATATGATACTAAATAGGGGAATTGTACCGATCGATCATATTTGTCATTATGTTTTACCTCTTTCTCATTTTCTTTCTCTTTCTCTCTCACTGTACAATCCTAGTTGAGATGGGATGCGTCAGGTAGAGAAGTCAACGAATTCGAAACCAGTGAACGAGACCCAACGGCACGGTAAAACTAGATGCATTGCTATGAACGAATACTGCGGACCCTACTTTAATATAACATTACGTATAATATGACGTAGTAAAACATGATAGGATGTTTGTGCGCATGCACACACTTTGGTCGTCTTTAACTTTAACGACGCACTCTTCTCACAATCACTCTCTAATTGTAAGAACAGAATCTTCTATTTCGTTTTACATTGTAATCTTATCTAATATAATATATGTGGGACGAACACCTCCATGCCAAACTTGATAAGCATTCGTGGAAGGGAACTGGTCGGTGGGCCCTAGATAGCTCAATTGGTTAAAGAGCAGTCGCCCGGAAAGCGAAAGATCCGTGGTTCGAGTTCCGGTCCAGTCAGTCCAGCGGTCCAGTTTTTTTTCACGAATCTTACATATATAAAAAAAAAAAAAAAAAAAAAAAAAAAATAAAAAAAAAGAACAAAACAAAGTTTGATTAGATATTTAATATTTACCTTTTTATTTACTTATCTCGATATAATTAATATAGAATATTTTTGGATTATCTTTATTTCTGTTTTTCTTCTTTTCTTTTACATGCGTATTTATACATGTATAATTTTTTTAAACAGACGTATTAAATATTGTAAACTAATTAATGTAATTTATGTAACTATTAGTGTTATCGAAATATAATTGTTTTCAATTATTTGGTTTTAAGTGTCACTGATACACGTGAAAGACTTGTTATGTTTTCAAGAGAATGTATAATAATTATGTATTATTATATGTTGTAAAAATATGAATACATTGGAACCTCGATTTGCGAGTATAATTTTTTCCTTAAAAGCAATTGTATATTAAAATAAATTACCTTTTAATTAATATATTTTCTTTTTCTTCTTGCTACGACTATAAGTCTTGTTACTAAAAAATATTTATTATGAAAAAGATATAATTTGTTCCACAGTTATTAATACATATAAAAATGATATGAAAATGATATAAAATACAAAAATATTAACATAAGTAAAAAATGAAACAGATTATTCCGCATTTTATTTATTACGAAAGAGTCGGTCGTTTGCTATAGTCATCAAAAATTTTCTGTTTATTTTTTTTTTTTTTGCATAATAACCTTAAACCAGTTTCTCGCAATCCAAGGTTCAACTATATTATGTTAATTATATATTTTTGTTTTCGATAAATTTTAATTGTTCTATTTGTAAAACAATACAAATTCGTATGAATCATTATTCCATTAAGAAAAATAAATAAAATAATCATATAATTCGTAACAATTATTTGATGTATTATTCATTTATAATGATTATAATAATCTCGAATTTTCTTTCTCTCTCTCTCTCTCTCTCGTTTGGTTATTTAATAATAATAATAAATTGCTTCTCCAATGGTAAAATACACCAGCTAAAAAGTCGTGATCTCAAAACAAAAACATAATAATAATAACAATAATAATAATAAAAATAAAAAAAAAATAATAATAATTGTATTTTTAATAGAAAAGAAAATTAATTAATTTTAATCAAATTAAAAAAAAAAAAAAAAATGACGAAGAAATATTTCGATTCTAAAAAAGAGAAATATATTTTCCGTATGTATTTGTTGACACGTTGTGAGTAGAATTTTCATAACGATCAAAGTCCGTGCGTGTATCTGTGTGTGTACATCAAGAATATTCATACTCAAAGTAGGACATATTTCTTTAGCTGTTCTACGAAATGCACAATTTTCTCTTTCCTTTTTTTATATTCTTGCTTTTACCCTTTACAAGAACCAAACTCGTCGACAATATATCGCCTTAGACAAAATGAATGAGAATAAAAGATAAAAGTAAAGATTTTGAAAAGTGACATATTCAATTTTCACATATGCATATATATACACATATATATATTTTTTGGTGATATACAAATTTCCTGTATTTTTACATGTGAATTATTGATACCATATACTGATATTTGTATTTCAAATGGCAAATAAATTCTGGTCATGCTATGTATGATAATCATCTATATCATATCAGTAATTATTATTATCATGTAATTATTCAACTTTTTCAAGGAAAGACAAATAAAGTTAATGTATTACGAGGCAAAAAGTGCAGTTCACTTAAGTACTTTCTTTCATTTATTGTTTTTTTTTTTTTTTTCAAATAAATATATTCACTTCTTTTACGTCAATTTTCTTTATTTCTTGTTGTTTCATATTTTATTTTTTGTACCAATAGTAATCAAAAATAGTAATAGTAATCAAATTTTGTTGATAAATTAGATTTTGTATGAATTTCATTATATACATAGGACAACAGAAAAGTTAGTAAGTTTTGAATTCTATCAAAATTTGTCGAAAATACGATAAAATAACGCATGTATTGTGTATATATATGCATGTTCGAATATAAATGAAATATTCTCTGAACAACTGATTTCGATATAACCTCATTGCATCCAACTTTTACTTGAAAATTCTCTTCGAATTCGTGTAATTCATTTTTCATGCTTTTCCAACCGTAGATGTAAATTTTATGCTATTATTGAAATCGGTAGATCGAATCCCTCGTAACCGCAGGTGCGGATTCCACGTGCGTTGCACGAGCTTATCGTTTCTTGCACGTGCTGACTTTCAATTATATATACACACACAGGAGGAAACAAAAAGAAAAAAGGAGAAAAATAGTCTCTTTAAAAAAAAAAAAAAAAAAACATTAAGATACCGATATAAAAAATAATTACATCAATTATCTTATCCAATTTTTTTTTTTACGTAATTGTACTCAAAACAATAAAGAATGACCTCTAATCGAACAATTTTTATCTTAATGTCCAAATGTTACTTTTATCATTCCTGTGATAACATTTTTAATATTAACAATATGTTTATTTTGATTTTTTTAAATGACTTTTCTGTTTTCAAATTTTCTTTCTAAAGAAAAAAAAAATGTTTTTAATTATTTATATATTTCGTCTACAAAAAAAAAAAAAAACACAAAAAATATCAGTGATAAAGAGGCGGAAGTGTTAGGCAAATAAATATTACTTTTAATATAAATAAAAAATAAAAAATGACTTATAAATGTATATCTTTTATTATTACTATTATTATTAATATTTTTCAAATTCAACGAAATAATTTATCTTCTGTAAAAAATATATACAAAATTATTATCGATTTATAAATTCTTTTTATTTATTTCCTTTTTCTCTCTATCTCTCTTTTTTCTTTTTTCTTGTTTCTTTTTTTCCCCGATGAACGAATATTTGTAAAAAAATATTAGTTAAAATGATGGCATTCCGATGCTCTTCGACAATTTGGATCATTCACCTGTCAACCGGTTGTCGTAAATATTAAAAAAAAAAAAAAAGAAAATAAAATGAAAATCGAACTAAAACATCAAATAAATCTTTCCAAAACTCTTGCAATTTAACTCGTTTTACAATATTATTCCTATTACTATTACTATTATTATTACTGTTATAACTTTTTAATACCAAGAACTTCAATTTGATATGTCAAAGAGTACAAGTAAAAGACAGCAAATGTTTATGTTTCCGTTCATTACACACATTTCCAATTTGTAAACGACGTACGTTTTAATCGAGAGAAAGAGAGAGAGATGAGGTTGGTGGGTGGGGTTGGGGGTGGGAAAGGGGGAGTAGTAGTAGTTGGGGAGCACTCTATAAAACCTGAACCACCGATGTAAACTATAAACAGGAAAATGTGGCGAATTGCAGAGATTGTACACAGAGAAGTATGGACGGGGAAGAAGGGATGGTTGGGTTGATGAAGGGGTGAAGAGGGAAAGGGGTAGTATGTGGCGAAGTTGGCGTGGTAGTTAGGAAAATGGGGCAGTTTTGTGGGAAAATAAAATAGGTAATGGAGCTAGCAAGGCAGCTATGTAAAACAGCTGCCACTGACGGCTGCACGAATCACAGTAGTTATATATATATATATATATATACTTTTGTTATTATATTCTCTCGATTTCGACGAAAATTTATATATATATCCGGTTAATAGTTTCTTTCTTTTATGTTCTTATTTTTTTTTTTATTTTTTTTTTCTCGTTACAATCAACTCTCCCCACCCCCATCACCCATTTCACCTTCTATTTTTATTCAATATCTCTCTTATTTATATATAAATTAATATTATTCAGATATACACGTAGTGTAGTTAAACTCGAATTAGATGAATTGTTGAGTTACCTGGTGGTGTATAAGGTTTGGAATAATTTGGTTTAATTATATATTTGAATAATTTGTTTTTTTTTTTTCATTTGTTAAAGATATGTTTTTCTAAAGTTTCGGTGTATTGCATAAACAATGTAACCATTGTATAAATTAAATTAAATCGAAGGACTGACTGGTGGTGTTACCTTAAGCATGATTCTACTCTTTTCTCAGAAGTAAATATGAGAATTATTCATGCAAATTGTTTCAAAGAAAGTTTTTAATCAAAATTTGTAACCTCAAATTGTAACCAAGAATATTCTAAAGTTTTGCCAAGATTTAAAATGATAATCAAATAGTGTTTCGAAGTTAGGGGCGTTTTATCGTTCGATACGTTAAAAAAAAAAGAAATGTGTATTTCATTAAAATATGTATATCTTGTAATTTTTTTTTTATTTATTCTATTTTCCATACGAAAATCAAGAAAATTAAAAAGCAAAAGGAGGAAAGAGAAAGAACAAAAAGATATATCTTTATTTTCTTAAAAAATACGTTCCTTGCCATGAATTTTTTTTCACCTTTAGCGTCAACGCAAATAAATAAAAAGAAAAAATAGAAAAAGTCAAGAAATAAATAATGAAAAAAAAAAGGAGAAACAATGTGCCGTCTGAAAACGAAACCGGAAAAAGGATTCTGGCTTTAGTCACAGTTTTAGAAGTCACAAAACATAACACCACCAGCACGTTTTAAGTGGTGGCTAGGAAAATGGAGGAATAAGAAGAGAAAGTGGTGGGGAGAGGATTTAAAGGAGTATATGTAAGTATAAAGGAACGAAAAAGGAAGGAAGGAAGGAAGGAAGGAAGGAAGGAAGGTAGAAAGGGAAGGAAGGAAGGAAGGAAGGAAGAAACGCGTGCGACAACACAGCTGAAACGCAAAGCCACGCTTCGTGGAAGGTACTCGACCGTTCGTTGGTGGCGTTCGTAAGAATAAGTGGCACTTTACTCT